TTTTTTGAATTTAAAAAATAGTAAAAAAAAAATTTTTACATAATTTCCTCCACATTAATTAAGATATTTTTATTTTCTTTCGTTTCCAAAAAACAGAATGTTATTATCTTGAAAATTGACGATTTTATGTAAGGCTGAACTGTCCATAGAATAACATGGGGGTTGCTTTTCTCCCGATCGAGCGAACGGCCTTAAGCGTTTAAATATAATTTTTTCTACAGTGTAAGATTTCTGAAATTAAATTTCAAAAATATGCACTAAAAGTCTTTCTCACTTAATTGCTAAATGCTTAATTTGAAACTTTAATTGCTATTTCGTTTGTTTTCAAAATAGATACTGAATAATTTAACTTCTGTGTATTAGGACTGGGCGATGTTAAGATTTTGGCATCACAATATAGATCGCCACGCTAACATAGCAATGTTTCGGTATATGTTTTGCATTTAGTACTGCGTAAGTTCACAATTAGTAAGTTTGCTTTTTTTTTTTACAATAAATGTTACATTTTTCATTATTATTTATCAATATTTAAAGGTGTGGATGTCTGCGAAATAGAGGTTAAAAAACATTAACGGATGCATTGATTGTGAAAAAATCAACAGTATTTGCACTCACACAATTAAAAGAAAACCCTTCCATAACTAAGAGATTGAACAACACTGCGATTCTCAATCACATTCGAATTCATTGTGACAGCAAAATGATGAGTCCCAATGTAAAAAAGACGGGGAAAGATAACAATCATCACCACAGCTATAACTCCACACTTACGGTGAAAATGCTCTTCCCATGAGCTTGCAGACATCTATGTACTATCGGGGACAACGCTTAATGCCGTATGTGTAAACATCAGTATCGGCGAAGCATTGGGAAATATTGTACACAACTCAGTAAATCGCAATTACGATGGTTCGAAAAATTGTCCATTCAAATATCAGATTGGCAATGATTCTATAGAATGAATATTTTCCGATGCATCGATTTATCACCCAGTCCTACTGTGTATATTGGTTATTTGTGTCATACCCATACCGCTTACAAAATTCTCTTGTGTTACTATTCAGATATATTTAAGCTTAATATTTCCACTTAAATTATATATATTACTATTTTAGATGACATTTATGGTATCTGGTTTTATGAAGAAAAAAATTGTGCTAAGATATTTAAACTTATATCGAGGTAAGTTATATATTTTCATGTATCATTTTATGCATGGATTCTTTTAATCTTTGTTTTATAACAGAAAATATTAACTTTAAGTTTTTTATTTTATTTTATAAGCTCGAATGATTAGTATAATTTTTCATTTTATTTCCCTATTATGTAATAAAAATTGAATTGCATGAAATGTATTTTTAGATTGTTTTTATTCAATTTTAGAAGTTACAACAATGATATAAAAATCAATCATTTCTAATTCTAACCTATACTAAAGTCAGATTAATCATTTTTTATGTAGTAAAATTATGTCCTACATTTATTTAAATGTTCATTACACTGTAGTAATAAAATAAAAAATTTGAAAAGAATTTTTTACTCGGCTAGAATGGCGATTCCAAATTGTTTTATTATAATAATTTGGTGATTCTTTTATGTTCTCTTTAATGCATTAGTACTATTTCTCCATTAGTTATGATTTTTAGTACATAATGCATTCAAATGTACTCAGGGTAGCTCCTTACCTGGTAGCAAAATTTGTGGAATGAATCTGCAGACCTGTCTTCATAAATCTGAATTTGTCTGCAACCATCATGCAGTCAGACTAAGCTTACTTGAACCTGTTGCAAAGTTTACAAATATAAGGTCCATGAAAAGTATAGATAAAAGCTTCCTGTTGTTTAAGTTGAATTTTATACAATGATACTAAAAAAAAATGAATTGAATCTGTATAATTAGATCTCCTCAAGTTGTAAAAAGAAAGTTTTGTTCTTTGGGATGTTCTCTCAATTTAGCTTTTGAATTTTTATTTTAGGCAAGTTTTAGAGATGTTTTAAAAAGGAGTCTCAACATCTGCAATTATTTGTTTGTTTTTTTAAAAATAAAAAGTAAAACTTAAGAGAAAAATTATCTGCCTATGTTATAATAATATGGAGTAACCACTGTGGTGCTTAAGGGTTCTGCTATGAGAGTACCTATTACCAAAATAAGCTTCATTGGCATCAATAAATGTGTGGGCATTTTTTACCCTTCTCCTAAATAACTTCTTACCATTACTCCATTAATTTTGCTTTTTTGTACATAGCTTATTTCTTTATTTCAATTGTTAATAAGTACTGAAATTATGCTCCATTAGCGTCAATAATTCTATCCTGATTTTTTACATTTCTCCCAAAAAGATTAGTGCTATTTCACCTTTAATTTTGCATTTCAGTACATAACTTTTTTTTTATTTCAAGTACTTTGGATTTTAAATTATTTGATTTTATCTAAACACCTTTTTAAAACATAACCATTTCTCCATTAATTTTGCTTTTTAGTACATAGCTTATTTCTTTATTTCAATTGTTAATAAGTACTGAAATTATGCTCCATTAGCGTCAATAACTCTATCCTGATTTTTTACATTTCTTCCAAAAAGATTAGTGCTATTTCACCATTAATTTTGCTTTTCAGTACATAACTTTTTTTTTATTTCAAGTACTTTGGATTTAAAATTATTTGATTTTATCTAAACACCTTTTTAAAACATAAGTGTGAACAAAATAAACGCATGGTTTCAGATAACTTTTAAAATTTTAATTTGGCAATGTAATCCGCCTACGATACCACATTCATCTCTAGATCATTGAGTTTATCTGACATAATGAATAAAAAGTAATTAAATATTTAAGAATGCAATGAACACATTTAAAGCGAGCTACAGTTAACAAATATTATTGATATAATCTTAAAAGTATTTGGAAACAAGAAACAGAATCCTCTGCAGTTTCATTTTTATCAATGGCATGTAAGAAACTAACAAAATGAAATTATAATAGTAATAAATTTTTCAGATATCTCTAACAGTCTAATTAAAAATTTAATTGATTATGAGGATTGGGAACTAAAATTACTCATTTCACAGACTATATAAAGTTCATAAATAATTCTAGAGCCCCGTGGCAGAAACACAGCGACATTGTCGCAGAAAGCGACTGAGATCTTGCAGAAAGATTTTTTTTATTTGGAAAATAAAATTTTTTGGTTTGCCACAACCAAAAGTTCTCAAAAAAGATTCTGCAGAAACAGAAGCTGTTTTACCAACAAAAAAAAAACATTTTCTACAGAAACAAAAAATTTCTGCAGAAGCAATAATGGTTCTGCAAAAAAAAATTTCTAGCGTACCGCGGAAGGAAAAAGCGCTCGTAATTCTCCGTTAATCTCCAACACAAACAGTTACTGGATAAATGGGGGAGAATTTTTTCCCCCTTTATTAAGCTATTTTTCGAAATTTGCCAACTTCGGCCTCAATCGCTGGCGCAGTAATTTGCTTTGTTTTCTTATGAGAACAGAGCATTTTATATTTTTTGCACTTATGTGGAAAATTTCATGCGTAAAAAGATTCTTTTTTTAAAAAAATCATGTCTAGCGAAAAGGTTATTTGTTGCAATTGTGAAGTCACAATAATCAAAACAAATTTGAAAACTGATTTTTCAAAGCGGCATACCGAAGAAGAAATAAGATGGAAGTCGACAACATCTAGCGATGTCAGAGATTTTTTTCTGGAAAGCGACAGGAAAAGAAGCTTCACACGCTACTAATATTGAAGAAAAGAAGAAAAAAAACGTTCTAGATTCGAATCAAATATTTTTACTAGTAGCGATATCGATAGTAAGGATGAGACAGCATTTCCAACAAATCAAGAAATTTTAGAAGCAGTAAAAAGTAAAAAATGACTATATATATATTTTTGTAAAGATAAAATACCTATATCCTTTGAATTAAGTCGTCGATAAAAAAAAATAATAAAAAAAAACACTCGCCATCTAACGTTAAATGAAATAAAGCCTGAAAGATATCTCACTATCTACGATTTTTTGGCATGCGAATGAAAACCAGATTGGTGGAAAATATTTACTGGTGAAACACTTTCAAACAGGTTTCCATACGCATGCGAAAAAAATCGCATCCAATGAGTATGGCTCTAATACCGATGTTTCAGTACTGATAAAGACTATTTCGTTTCGAGATGTTGAATAGACTTGAGCATATTGAGTCGGAAACAGCTTCTGCATACTTCGTGTGGAATCAGTGCTATATATTTACACAATACAGTGCGAAATCACAAGCGCTGTGTATTTTTTTCGTTCTGAACTTAATCTGATCACGAAAAAAGTTTTATTTACCTCCTTTTTTTAAAAAAAAAATCTTTCAATAAGTCAGTACAATATTAATCGAATCTAATTAATTAGATAAAATTAATTAGATGTAGAAAAAATTGAAACAAACATTGCTTTAATTTTTTTGCTTTTAGAATTCGGTTATAGTCAATACTATTTTATTATTTTGATTACTCAACTTCAATATTAATTTTTTCACCTGATTTGTTTCTGTACCTGATATAACTACTATAGTGAAACATTAAATCATACTGTTTTAAACTGATACTTCAAATTCAGTTATCTTGTTTTATAAATTTAATCTTATTGTCCATTCTTAGCTATTTCTATAAGTTCTATCTTATTACAGGTTCTGGGTAATCTTTATTTATGCTCTAGTAAGCATTTTTGTCTGCAGATCTATACATTTATAACTTTTCGTTATTATCGAAGATTATGCAAATTTATACTTAAACAATTTAAACTTATTAAGAAATGTAAACTTATATTATGAAATTAAGAAAAAAAAAACACAGTTTTATTCTATGCATGTAGACTTATTTTATAAACACGAATTTCATCTATTATTATAAATTCATTACACATACATTTATAACGATAAAAATATCTTGCAGAAAGATATTGGTTCTAGTTAGGTTTGTCGCAGAAAGTCAGAAAAAATTCTGCCACAGGGTTCTAGAGTTAAAAGAGATGCACACATAGACAAACTCTTCATTTTATTATTAACTCTTTCTTGTGTTATTAATATTACTATTCAGAAAAAAAGCACTAAAATAATCTTAAACTGTACCTTACCTTTGGTAACATTAGTTTTTCCTTTCATAATTGATAACACTTGATTTATTGAAACATTTGAAATCTGTATCTTACCTTAGTTTAAGCTTTGGTAACCTTAGTTTTTCCTTTCCACTAAACACTTGATTCATTTTAAGTTAGTATAAAATGTTATAGAAATATTGATTATTTTTAATGTTACACTATTGCATATTTTTGTTTTGTCTTTCATTAAACCATTTAAATTTATTGGTTGATTTATTTATTCCAGCTTATTGCAGTTAGTGCTTACAAAATCTGATAAGTCTAGCAATATTAGGCAACGATCTTTTTCTGAAAGTCACCGTAAACATCAAAAGCAAGGGAACGCTCAAATGGATATCATATCTCTTCTCACACGTGCTCAAGATGAATATGATAAGGTAGACCTTTGGCAGTATCACAGTTTACTCATTTGCTTAGATACATTGAATATTTTTTATACATTACATATTTTTTATGTGCCATGCATTAATTTTTAGTTGTGCCAACTGTGTACGCATCCTTATCTCACTGGAATTTTTTTACAAAATAGAGCTTTCTTCATGAATTTCATAAAATAAGATTTCTAAATACGCTTTAATTGCTGTTACTACCATTAAAAATACAGTGAACCCCTTTTAGTTTATTAAATTTAATTTTAAAATTTTCTAAGAGTACAAATGAATTGCTTATTAACAATATTATGGAATGTTTGCTTCATGAATGTCACTAACGTTTATTATTAAAAATATGCTCTAAAATTCCTTATTTCATTTGAGAAATTTCCTAGATTAATTCTTTGTCCCATAACTTGTTACTGAAAAAGTTTCTTGAACTTTTATTGCTAAATGAAGGCATCTGTGCAATATTTTTATTTTATTTAAAAGTAATTAAAAATATTCGACTGTATTTATTCAATGTATTTCCTATTTGCTATAGAAAGAATTCTATCAAAACCTCATCATTTTTATTACAGAAATCTGCAGCTAAAGATTCATCTAAATCTTCACAGCGTTCACCTAATGGGGACATTGTTAAACCTACTCCAGTTCGTATCAATGGTGAAACAATAACTCCCTCTAATACTGCACCTCTAACTTTGGGAATGCTCTTTGCTCAAGCTGGTGGTGTTGCGAAAAAACCAAATGAAGATCCCAAAGACTTTGATTCTCGTGTGAGATCCTTCACTGCCAATGGCTGTAATAACTTATCTAATCATGCTGGAATGAGTACTGAAACTATTCTTCAGAACTTACTTTCCAATTCAGCGCACACTCTTCATCACATTGAACGTCAAGTATCAGAAATTGTGAAAAGCAATACAGAGAAGTCTTGCATTGAGAGACCACTTTCAGCCGGGGATGCAACTTTTACTGCTGAATCATTAGAGAAGGATTTAAAAGAAAGGCTAAATATATTGCCAAAAACTGATAATGTAAATAAAGAGTTGATTATGGATAAATGTGATTTATCTTGTGGAATTGCCAAAAGTCAACCTATTGATATACCAATTCTCACTCCGGCCATGTTGGATTCATCCTTGCATTCATCTGTTCCACCAGTAAATATTAAGTCATTTGCTGAAAAGACTGACACATTTTTGGAAAACTGTAGTTCTTCATTTCCTGTGGTAAATGTTAATGCATATTTCTTTAATTATTGAAAACAAAAGTTTTAGCGTTTTTGTCATAAAGTCATACTTAGTTAGTGGCGTAGCTGTGGGAGGGGGACGAGAAGAGATATTTTTCCGTGGGCGTAGCTAGAGAATGGAGCCAAATTTGTATAACATGATTAGAAATGAATTTCTGAATTGAATTTTTTTCTCTTTTAAACATCACTTGTTCTATTTGTTAAACACAGACTCCATAACTTTTTTTTTTTTTACCAAAAAAAAATTAACAGGATTATTGCAATTTTTTATGTATTTACATTTTTTTTTTTAAATTATAATTTTTTATAAAATCTTCATATTGATAGACAAATTTAATTTGAATTAACACTTACCACTAATTTAATCAAAATGATAAACAAGTACTAAAACATCTTAAGTGTAATGGAAACTACATTAGTATAACTTGCATGTTTTTGTCAAATCGTATCTGAGAATATAGAGTTTTGTCCCTTAAAAATAGCACAATTCCAAGTATACAAAATCTTTTTTAATTTAGTTTTAACATAATTTAAAAGTATAATCCATTAAGTCTGCCATCATAGCATTGATTCTGCTTTTATGGTGCAATGCATCAAATACTATAAAAATCAAGTAACTTGCTAAGTTATTACACGTCCCAAGAGATGCCCCCTTTAGACGTGTAACTTTCTGTCAAAAAAATAAATAGAGTGTAAATTAAATTTTAACAGGACTTAAAATATGTATATATACTTAAAATTGTTGTTCTTTATTATTATAGTTTCTGAAGGAGAAAATTAGAATAATTCTGAGTATTATATCACATTATATTGTTGCTTTTCCTTGTTGCAGGTTTTTGATCAATCCTAATTAAAAGCCTTGACTGCTTAAATATTTCTCTTTTCTTGTATTGAAATTCTCTGTTTTGTCTATCGATAAATAGAACAATTATAATGTGCGTATTAGTGGATGGATGCAGAAGAGCTAATCTGTTATGCTATCCATTATGTACCATTCTGGTATTATCTTGATAAGATTTTAGTGGAAAATACCTCTTAACTTCAACATTTGATTAAATAAGGAAATCAAACTTTTTTGTTTCACTCTGAAAACACCAAGTGTGATATCTTTTCAATAGTGTTAGTTGAGTTTCGTTATACCATGCTTTATTTGCTATCTTACTAAAATCTAGCACAATTTTAAAGTAGTGTATAAATTTTGGAGAATTGAGCTAAACTCACTTGGGCAAAAAATAAGCTAGTTGGATTAAAGATCTAATAATCATAAACCAATGTCCTCTATGACTACATTTAAAAAAATTTCAATCCTGCAATGCTAGTTATGTATAAGTACTCTAAAGCATGATTTTATCTGTTTAAAATTTTTTCGAAGCCCAAATTTAAAATTAAACCTAAATGCTTTCTCCAATCTGAAAATATGCAATATTTGCATATGTCAATTTTACAAACCTGTTTTATTTTAAGCATACATAATCAAAATTGAAAAAAAATTTACCTGTTTTGAAAAGAAAAAATAAGGTTTTTAGGACAAAATGAACCACGAAAATTTCAGATGGGATAAATTTCCTGACAAATTTGTTGAGATATTTGGTTTGAACCATTTTTCCATTCTGAAACTAGTTCAAAGATATTTTGGATTAAGTGGCATATGCCTTATAATTTCATAATATACTTTATACGTTGTCTTATACTTTCATCTATCCTACTTGGTAAATGATGTTTAAATGTATAAATTGTGTTAATTGTAGGAATAGTTTTAGAATTGCTTGGATTTTGTTTTTTTGCACCTTTGAACCTCTTGTCTGCTAGTTTCTTAAGTGTTTATTAAAAATTAAAATTTCATATTTTAAACTTACATTCAACATTTAATTTTTTATTTTATAAAGTTGCTTTTTCTGAATATAAATCATCGTCAGTAGTTAAAACTCAAGTAAGGTTTAAATACAGCTTAACCTTGTGAGCATCTTGAAATTCTACAAGAAACAGCTATGTAAATAATACAGTACAAAATAAGCATAAGTACAAAAGCTATATCCAATTTTTTTTTTTTTTTTTTTTTTTTTTTTTTTTTTTTTTTTTNTTTTTTTTTTTTTTTTGTGATTACCATAGGATTTATGAACCACAATAATGGCTGCTCAGTTATTAAAAACACTGCAATGTCATTGAGAAAGAAGAACTGGAATTCAATACTTGAAAAAAAAAGAATAATTTGCTTTACATCAGATTTTTTATTTCAGTTAGATTTTTTTTCCTTGCATTTATCAATCAAATAATCTTACAAAGTGTATGAATGATACTTAATATTATTTGAAAACAATATAGCAAAAATAATTGATATAATTTATTTTCAACTAAAATATTTAAGATGGTTTAATTAACTTATTGTGAAAATAATTTTAAAGACCAGGAGGCAATTCGCCTGTTGGATATTTGGTATAGAATAAATTAGTTTAGATTCGAAAACAATAATATTAATGAAAAAAAATTTAGTCTCTCTAGGGAAAATTAAAATTGTCTTCATTATTGATTTACAGTAACTGCATATTTAATAAGTTTTAAAAGCACTTGTTTTGAAATAAACATGTAACTAAATGGGTGTAATTGAAATATATTGTGTATCAGCAAATTATTTTGCACATAGGTATTTGTCCTTTTTAAGTTGTTCTTTTTTTATCTATCTAGTTTGAAATACGGTAATTTTGCATGTGTCCTCTTTTTATTATTTCTTTTTACAAAACCTTTATTATCAATAAATTAACTCTTTAAAAGGATATATTTATAAACAATATTAAATACAAATATTTTTAACATGCTGATTTATTATTTATTTATTATTTTTTTTAAATAAATCAGTGACAAAAAATGTCATTGGTTTAAACCAATAGATTTTGGAAAAAAACCTTTGATTTCAATCATACCAATTACGAACCTGCCAAGTTTTTTATCGAAGACTCCTGTATTTTACGACTATCTCTTGTTTACCGATATATTCTCAAATTTCTCCGTATTTGTTGAAGAAATTTTAAAAAATAAATTTGACGATAAAATATTTCTCTTATTCCTCAACGGGTGGTGCTGTTGCCAGTACTGCAGTATGAAAAGTGTTTATAGTTTAAATAATTATAAATAATGGTTTAAAAAAAATCTTCTTTAGATTAAAATTTATGTACATATTTTTTACTTCTCTATATAAGTGCTTATATTATTTCCAATTTTGAATTTCTCTTTTTGACTTGCATGATGTATGAAAACGTTACTTGTAGCCTAAAAAATGTCACTAGTAAAATCTCCATTATTTTGTTTATCCAATGTTGACAGGCATGCAATTATGTACACAATGACAACCACATTGCCGCAATTACGCTCTGGGTCATAAAATTGTGTAGCCTACTCCTCCATGGGCCCTCCTGGCATACAGCAGATTGTTTCAGAAACAATTTTTACCGTGAATTTATAAATGTGTTAAAATGTTAATTTTCCTTGATTTTTATTTGCAGATTAATGAATCACGGTCATATTCACCTACTCAGTTGCTATCACCAATGGATTTTACTATTCCACGTCGTCAGAAGAATATTCAGCAAACTCTACTTTCATCCTCATATTCTCCGGAACCAGTGTCTGCTACCAAAAATGGTAAGTCCTTAAAATCAATGATGATAAAATTATCTATTATTGTACAATTATTTCTGAACTTAAGCCCTTTAGTTTTTTTTTTTTTTTTTCATGAAAACAGTTTTTATATTGCATTTTTATAGCTCTTTCTCTTGAACACTGTTTTAAAATGTAGGTTTTTAAAGTAAAATGTTACAATGAGTTTTGTTACTGTACTGTAATGTTGCAAAAGCAATGTTCTTCTATTTATGACCTTGATTTTCGTAGGTTTTGGAAATAGTAATGAAGATTTGCTTCATCCTCAAGCTTTGATAAATGGACCGTTATTGTCACGTTCATTGTCCTCAGGGAAGCCACCCACTGTGACACCTCTTAATAAGGATCAATTTAAAGAAGCTTTGATGTTTATGATTCAGGTATGCATCTGAATTTAGATTTGGAATTTTTTTTTTCTTCATGTGCTTTATGGATCTGTAAATTCTGTTTATTCATTTCATCATAAAGTCTTTGAAAAAAATAATATCTATAGTTCTGTAATTCATTATTCCTTGAATTAGGGATTGCAAATGGATCTGTAATTGAGTCGACGCTAGCAAATGAGTTATTAAAATTCTCAAATGAGTTATTAAAAGAGCAGTATGTGAAACATAACCAGTTTGATTGCCTGATAAAACTTAAATGCATTTCTTCTCTGTTTCTGCTTGCAATCAAACAGATTTTATTATTTTTAGTCCTGTCCTCTTCGGTAGTGATTAGTTAAATTTTGATAGCATTTTTGTTTTTCTTCACATAAACCCCAATTGTTGACCCTTAATGTTTTCTTTTTTTTTTTTTTTTTTTTTTTTTTAAAAAGTTTAAAAGATGTATATTTAGGGTGATCATTAGAAAACTTCCCGTATAATAAACAGCAACCCACTCTAGCACTGAGGCATGTATCTCAAAACATTGATTTAATGCATACTTTGTCACGATGTAGTGGCCAGTGTGCACACTGTTTTTAAAAGAGTGCTTATTTTCATTTTTTGTTTTGAAAAGCCTTTAAAATTGCTCTTTTTCTTGGGTGTTTTTAAAAAGTGCTTATCATCTTCACTACTGAAGTATAAGGGCATGTAGCAGAAAAATATTTTACAGTTCTGAATTTCTATTCACCTGTAGTAGGAACAAATATGCATAAGGTTATGTTATGGTCTATTTAAATACAATGATGAATAGAATAATAATTTAGAAAAAAAAGTTTTAAGAAATGTAAAAGATTTTACAATTACTAAATGCCATACTGGTACATTACTGCATGAAATCTCAGTTTCCAACCTATTTTAATTATGCAAACGACGCAAAATAAATAATTGTTAAAAAGAATCTAACATTAACTATATTAAAATATTTAATTCTTGGAAGTGAAATTTCAAAATTTTAGGAGTAAAACACAAAAAGTTAAAGTTAATTAAATGTATGTACCTTAATATAAAACAATAAATTAAAATAGACATCTAGATTTCGCTAAATAGATATAAAATCGGATACTTATAATATTGTGAGATTTCACTTGACTACTACGGTGTGAAATGTGATCTATCAAGCCTGTTATTTTCTTCATCAATTATTCACCTTTTTATCTCTTTTTCTCATCAATTGCATGACATTTGCAGTATGATATTTAAGAATTTACAGTGGAAAGTGAATGATTAGCAATCTCTTTTATTTTAATTGCTTTATATGCTTTTTCTACTGTAAGTTTTTTCGTGAATAATTGTGCATGTTTAAAAATTGTAGGAAGTATTCTTTGCTTTTCTATGTGTGATTACAAAACAAAGCAATTTATATAATAGGTCAATATAAATTGAAAAATGTTTCCTCTTTGTATTGCTCTCTCAACTCAGTGTTATCGCTTTGTATTGCTCTCAGTGTTATCGCCCCTTTTTTTTTCCAGACTCTTAAATTCCACTAGTGGTTTTGCTGTTTTCATTTTTACTGCTTTTTTGAAATGTAATCACTTTTTCATACGACTTTGTTTCTACGTCTCTGTTCTTTGTTTGATGGCTAATTCTCTCAACCCTTCGCTTAGAAAACTATAGTATGAAGAGTTTTTTTTTTTTTCTACCTAAATCTTGATAGATGGTATTTCCATGTAAAAATAAATCTGACTTTTTCTATGTATATAAAATCGTTTGTAAATAGAAAATTAAGTGAGATTTTTCTTGTGCCATTGGAGAGGTTAAGAAAAATTTACAACTTTCTACGTGCAAGCCTTGGTGGCTCAGGGCATGGAGCGTTTGCCTCCCATTGTGGTAATCCAGGTTCAAACCCCAGTGGTGACTGGTTAATATGCATTCTGCTACTGGTTGGTACCAACCTCAGTGCTGTCTTGAAATAATTTTCTTTTCTTGGTTTTAAAATTTATTTTAAATAAATTGCTGCATTAATTAATTTTAGTTAATGAAGTTACTTTCTTTCTTGGTGTGTGTTAAATTACAACACATTTGAAATTACATTTTTAAAAATCTTATGATTCTTCAGATTGAAAATACAGATTAAAGTTATCATTTTATGCTGTTTTAATATATACTTACATAGCAGTAGAAAGTAATTAATGAACATAATTTTTTTCAAAAAGAAAATGCAAATGATGTTAATTAACCTTTTGATTGAAAAAGCATGGTATTTAAATCTACATATATTAAATGTATATTTCTAAAGTTTGAGGTTATATTAAAAAGAAATTACCCTAATATGCCAAAAATAGAAGAAAGAAAAATGGTGATGAATTCGAATATTTTTTTCTTGATATAATGTCATTCTTCCCTTTCAAACTCTTTCTAATTCTATTTGAAGCAGTAGGGTTATTAACTGGTATTTTTTCCTCATAATATGTTTACAGTATCTTTGACAATATCAGATTTTCTATAAATAAATTTTGGGGGAAAAAATTCCAATGAGTACATAGGTTTTTTTAAAAAAAAATTTGCTTAACTTATCCATTTTGATATAGGATTAAAAATTAAGATTTTAATATATTAATTTAAAGATTAAATATTTATTTATTTTTTGATGAATGACTACATTTATAAACACAATATGTTACATTTATTTTGAAGAAAAAAAAAGTATCAATTTTAAATAAAAATTTTAGTTTGCTAATTGAAACTTTGTTTTAATAGTTAAGTATTATTTAAATCCTCTATTTCATCGAGTCTTTAAAGTTCAATCATGCATTTGTTTCAAAATGGTTGATATGCATACAAAGCTATATACAGTACAGAACCCGTTATCCGGAAATCAGAAAACCGGAAAACCAAAAAACCGGAACAAAATTCGATAAATTTTCTTGCCATTTTTAAAAAAAAAATTTTTTTCCTCGTTAAGATTTTACGATTTTTCTTTCTTTTTTAAAGAGGTTTACCTTACCATCATTTTGGAAATAATCATTAGTGTATTACTTCATCGTTTTTTCTTATTTTTAAGATTATTTCCAATTTTTTTTTTTTTTTAGTTGGGTTTAACAATAAAAAAAACGGCTTTTTGTAGCGATTCAGAAAACCGGAAAAATCAGTTATCCGGAATAGCGATGGTCCCGACTGTTCCGGATAATCGGTTCCCTACTGTATTATAATGAAAAATTATTATAGTAAGTTAGAGCTTCTTAAATATTGTTATAATATAGTTTTAATATCAATTTAATTTTGATTAAACATATGAAAAGTTTTTTAATCATAAATTATAGTTCTTATAGCGTATTTAAATAAAAAATAAAAAAAATCTGATTTAAATCAAAAAAAATCACGAACCCTGCTTTGTCATTAGGCTAACCATGGTATGTTTTCTTCTCCATGTAATGCAGTTCCTAATTGGCTAGTTTGTCCCAATGCTTGATCCAGGAGTTCTCTTGTCTTCTGGAGTGGGTTCAAAAGTGCACGACTAAATAGTTGTTAATTCTGAATTTTACGAATGGGCTCCTTACATAGAGAATTAAAATCATAATATTTCTTCTGCATCATCTTATGCAATGAGATATGATAACTAAAGAGACCTGGCTCTTTTATAATCAATATGCTCTTTTCTTTCTTTTTCTGGTTTTGTAAATAATTGCTATCTCTTAAAAATCCCCATTTTATTAATTAATATGCAAATAGTGTGGTGCCAGATGATCTTTGCTTTAATAATATTCTTTTGTTTGGGGACGTTTTAACTCGTTTATATGATTTAAAATTTTAGTTTTGGAAAAAGTTTTTCATGTATCAAAAGTTGTTCATTTCTATGTGCGATTATTAAATGCTTTTTGAATTATTTTTTTTCCTCAGAGTGATGACGACTTTGTGATGCAGCTTCATGAATGCTATTTAAAAAGCTTGAAAAGTCAGTTGAATGTTTTACATTTTAGCTGACAAGTTTCTAAGCTTTCTTTGTGATTTGAACTTCTGTATTACAATCACCCGGAAGTAATTTGTTCCTAAAAGACACCATTTTTTGGTGAATTGATTTTGTTTTGTTTGTTATTAACTGAAGTCAATATTATTATTTTGTAAAAAGTGAATGAATTTTTAAAAAATTATATTTTCCTTATTTTAATTACAAAGGTTACAAATATCTTGCTAAACAAATTTTTTTCAAATGTTATTATTTGATTTCTTTTTATTTCTCAAAAGGAGAACAAAATAGTTATTTTTTATTCACTTTTTATAATTTATTTTATCTGTTTCTCTGCTACATGGAGATAAATATTGATCTTTTAAAAAAAATAAGTAATAACATTCAGAAAATTGGTTTCTGATACTAGAAAATTTATCTTCTTTGATTCTTTTTGTTTATTTATACCTTTTAAAAAAATACATTTATGTGTATTTTAAATATCATTTTAAGTGATATGCATTTCTTTTCGAACTTTAAAAAAACAAAAAACAAAAATATTCTACTCGCAGCAATTGCTGTTAATGTTACTGATTTTATTATATATGTATGTTCTACAAATTTTATTTGTTTTATCTGCTTATATTTCTCGAGAATTCTCTTGTTGAATATTGTCCAATTATAAATGCGTTCGAGAAATTAGATGTATTTTTCTCGAATTTTAGCAAAAATGTGATGTTTTTTAATATTAGTGATGTGTGAGTGAAGGAGTGTATTTTAATAAAGATTATTGTTTTACAAATGATTATTTTTAAGCACTAATAACTACCCAATTTAATTGGACTTTATCAACTTTATTCAACCTTGTTGAAAAATATTGTAGTAGGTTCCTTTTTTGTTTAACAAATATAGTTGAATAGCAATGATTTATACACTCATTTTGAATCTGTTTTAAAAATTAATATATTCTAAATTTAATCATGGAAGTTTTTTTACGCTTAGCACATTTATTCACTTGGGTATGTGGTTACAAAAATATTTAATTTCATTGACTTTCAGATTATTTTTGTTTAAAAAGAAAAGAAAAAGTTGTTTATATATTACTGTGTGTTTTTTCCCCCTAGTGAAATTTATACACAGACTTTAGTTTTAGATTAGTACATGATATTTCAAAGCATACACATATTTCTTTCTGATAATTCCTACTTAACTATTATTATTAAGCTTAACTTTGTAATAATGTCTAGTTCTTGAAACAAAAGTTAATGACCTTTACTAATTTGTATAACACCAATAAAAATATTTGTTAGGTATTATTTAATTGTTGCATTCCTTTTGTTTTCAATGCACTCAAATGTAATTGTTTTGAGATTAACCTATAGAAACTCCTTTTGTAATTTGTTGTGGTCATAGACTTTATTTATCTGATTTCAAAGTTTGCACAAAAGTTTCAACTATGACCATAATATATTTTTTTAGTTAGGGTATTGTAGATTAAATTTATTATAATTCTTATAGTTAAAAATGTAATAACTTCCCCATGAGGGTAGCTTATTAGAGTCTTAATGTTTTTTTATATGTTTTTAATTTGAATATTGCATTAGTAAACATGTGAGCTATAAAATTCAATGCGAAAACTCTAGTTTTTAGTGATGGGTATTTTTTTTTTTAAGAAAATCCATTATTATTAGAAATAATAATAGAGATTGATTAAGCACTAATGTAAATTTTAAAAAATTATTTTTTATGATTGAATAGCAAAAATAATTTTGCATAGGATTAATTAAAATTCTGGGGCTAGAGTTTTTATTGCTTTTTGCACTGATTCAATTATATTTAGTGCACGAAATATTAATTCTTAGAAGTAAGTTGCACTAATATTTTTGCTGCCATTGGCAGTGGCTTTTTTTTTTTTCAAAATGTATTATAGTAAATAAAAGAGCTATGTGCATATGTTTATATACACTATAAAGAATGTTCTTTATATGTAAGAGTAATTATATTTAAAATTAAATGCTCTCTATATTATAACTATCTGAAATAACTTTTAATAATACTTTTTAATCAGATTATTTATTATTGTTTCATCTTTTTTTTCTCTTTATTTTATTTTTATTATCTTAAAATGGTTTAACAAACATATAGTATATAATGTAGAATTTTATTATTTTTTTCATCCAATATGTTTTGTGCCAAATTTAAATATTTTTTCTGTTATTTATAAAGAAAAATCAGCTTTATTTTCACATTAAAAAGAAAGAAACTTTCATAATGATATAGATAATTTATCAAGATTAACTTTTAATGTCTTATAATGAAAATATTTTTTTTCTATTGTCAATATTACTTTTATCGGTATTAATATTATGAATCATATGCAATGATTCTAAGTTTTCACCAATCTTTAGTTTTGCATTAATAAAATTATTTATTTAAGATCACTTAAAAAAATTTTAATTTTTTTTTTGTTGCTAAGTTTGGTTTATTGATAAACAATCATAAAACAATTTTAATGTTCTCAGAAATAACTTTTTGTTCTTGATTTTCCCCTCCCCCCATTTCATGATTACAATTAATTATGTCATAAACCTTTTTGTTAATTTTCCTTACGTGATAAAAGAGCACCGTTCAGTAAAATTTTGCTTATTTTATTTTGAAAATTTCAAGATAATTTTACGAATATATTTTGAAAAACATGGCAAATCTTGTTTTTATATGTATATATAATTTTAGAAATACTTTTTGAATAAGTTAGCAATATGTTAATACCTTAAATTAATTCACAGCTAAAAAAGCTAGCAATGGTTTTTAAAACATTCCAAATATTCAAGTAGTTAAAAATTAAGTACAAAAATTCAATTTCAAACTATAATAGAAATTGAATGGGTAACTAGTTCTTACATTTTTTCTGAATATTATCTTTATTATATTTTGTGTGTGTTGTGAAGCCTATCTTGATTCTATTCTATGAATCTATATCTCGTCAGAAGTAACTCTAATGTCAGAAAGAGCAAATTTATTCTTTAAAAAAAAAAAATTAAATTTGCGTGCTTATCATAAATAGCCTTTTAATACCATTAAACCTCCTGAGAACCAAGGAATTTATTCTTAAAGGTACCATCAGTTCCCAAAGGTGCTGTTTTGTAAAAATTTGTTCCCTATTAGCGAAATAGTATTTGTTTTAATGATACTTTCTAGTAGTGATCATGCTAAATGGAAATCTTGCAAGTTGTTCATGTTAATTTAGTTTAATGCTATGTTTTACTGCAATATGAAGCCTACAAAATATAAGTTTATAAATTATTTCAATTAGGTTTTCTTGGGGATAGAAACTTATATTCATTTTCTATAATTTAAGTAGCTCTAAGAGAATGCATTAACTAAAACTTGTAGAGAGTTTGCATTTTTTTTTTCAATGTGTATAAGGCCTCTGATTTTTCTAAGGACTTTAAATCCTTACTAAAACAATAAAATTTGGTATTAAAATATCAAGTTGTCTTTCCATAACTTTTATCTCTCATTATTAACTAATAAATGTAACTTGTAAGAATGTTCAAAAGTTTTGTTTTTAATTTTATGATAACTATTCTCTGACTATAAAAAAAAAGTATCTTCACAGCTTGTCTGCCCTGAATTGTTCTGTTTAAATTCTTCATATAACCAATCTGTCAAATCAGTGTGGTTTAGAGATATTATTATCATAACAACTCTTTCGAATGTGTATTTGTTTACTGTCTTATTGTTTAGAAAAATGAATTAATTCATTTTCCTGTAATTGTGTAGTTTTTATGTGATATGCAAATCTCTTAAATGTAATATACTTCTTGTACTGCATAAATTTGAGATAAAAGTTTTGTTTTTATTTTTAAAATCTTGAAGAAAAATTTCTCACAGTGTTTCTGTGATGCGAAAATCATAAAAAAAAAAATTCTCACAGTGTTTCTGATGTGAATATATATATATAGTAAAAGCTCAATTTTGAACCCAAATATAGCAAACAAAGAACAAGGCCATTTATTTGGCCACCACTTATTAATATCTTTAGAATAATAAATATTTGATTTTGTACTCTCTAACTTTTATATTAAGAAACATATAATAATTTAAATGTTAATTTCCTAAATTGCTTTATTTCATTTTTCAGTAAGTAATATCTAAGAGGTTTTGTAAGCTAAATATATTTCAGTAGTAATAACTAAATATATTATCAGCCCTTTTAAAATAATTACAAAACCAGCAATTGGGTTAGTATTCTTCATAATACCTGATAATTAAGCTTTTACTATATTAATATCCAGATGCCTTATTGGTGTATTACAGTAACTGAGCTAGTTACTAGATGATGATTTATTTATTTGTTCGAAAATATTTTGCATATCAGTATTTTCGATCTAAATATTAACCATGATGTAAGGCATCTGGATAATGTGTGTTTTTAGAAATTTTAGTCATTGTAGAATTGTCTTATATTTAGTGTTTTGTATATTGCAATATTTTATTTTTACAATCTTAATCTTAAAATTGCTCACTGTTAAACATTTTTTTAAGAGTATTTTAATACAAAGCATTACCTATGGTTGTTGATTTTTTGCTATGATGTAAATGAATGGTGTAATGAGGCACTGTGCTGATGATAATGTTTTGAAAAATATATCTATTTAATAATACAAATTTGCAGTCCCCCTCCCTGTACTTTTGCACCCTAATATGTATCATTGCTGGTTGAGTGATGCAAATTTTCATTACTTATTTTATTCACTGAATATTGATTTATAATTTATTGAAATATATATAAATTTGATTATTGCAGTTCTTTCATTTTTTTAGATTAATTTTATAGTGATTAAATTTTTAATTGCTTTTGCTTTTACTTTGACTAGTAATTCATAAAAACATTGAAAGTTAAGAACATTTCACAAAAAAACGAAAAATCCTATTCTTCCAGAAATGCAAAATTTTATATTTTATTATTTTTGTGAATATAATGTGTATAGCAAATGAAAGTTCTGATAATTCTCTGCTTTATATTGTCTTATTTAAGAAATAAATTGTAAGATAAGTTTTCATTTTTTCGTGGGTTCTCAGTAGAAATTTCCATGGCTCATAAAGAAAATTATTGTAAAAGATGTGGTTATATTTCAGCTACTTTGCAACATAAAAGCCATTGAAATTATGACCCTGAGATATAAGTTTTTGTATTCCATTATGGTAATCTATTGCCTAGGAGTGGATTCAGCATGTTACAGCTGTCTTTTGAAAAGTGGTGCCCAAACATAAAATTCTTCGGGAAATTTGCTGGGGATTTTTGGGATATTTTTGATTATCCACCTTATAGTCCCAATCTTGCTCCCATTGACTTCTGCCTGTTCTTACACGTAAATTCCTATCAGAGCATCACTTTCTCACAGCCAAGAGACTTCTATGATACTGGCCAAAAAAAACTTATCCAATGGTATGATAAATGTTACATTTTAAATGGTTCTTATGTTGAGATGTAGCATAAATATTGCGATATCTTTTGCATTAAATCTTTTTTTCTGGACCTGGGGTAACTTTCTTTACGGGTGTCACTTGCATGTGTATATAAATGCAAGTCTCACTTACATTCTCTAACATCATACTTTATCAGGGTGCGTAGCATTTTTAAAAAGTGCTTAAAGGTACTTATTTTCATTTTTTAAAAAGTGTTTAATTTTCCTTATTTCAAAATGAGATTTTTACCATGTTGATTTTTGCTACGAATTATGCAAAAAGACACAGTTCACATTGTTCTCTTCAATGTTTTCACAATTAATTCAACCCCAATCTATTTCAGTGTATTGTCAGTCCATAGCGTATGAAAACACCATTTGTTTTACATGATTCAAAATTTCATGATTTTTGACATGACGCTTGAAACGAAATAAAATTGTTAATTGTCAAAAACTTTCCTACTCTTCCTAATTATGATATTTTTTTAAAGTGCTTTAAAATATTTTTTGAGTGCTTAAAAGGTGCTTATTTTATGTTTAATAATTTAGCTACGCACCCTGTTTATGCAGGTTTTATTATCTTATTATTATATGTGTTTGGACCCCCGTAATATAAGTTTAGCAGAAAATCAGTTAAACCAATTTTTTCTCCTGCATTAAGTGAGGGCTTTGACTGACCTACATTTCAATGTAATTCACAACTAAACTAGATTTAGAACCTTTTAACTTCATAAAAAAGTATATTTTTTTAGACAAACTCTGAAACACCTCCTGAGAGAAATTAGAAAAAGTTGGAGTTAGAGCCTTTTAATTTATCAGAGCACAATTGTAATTTTCTATAATGATCTAAATAATTGAATTTGCCTCATAACAGTTTAGTTCTCTCTATTAAAATGTAAGGTTTATTCATATATACGTTAATCTTTTCTTCTTTGTTATGCTTTGTAAAATAAGTTTTTATTTTCATGTATTTAAATAAATAATCTTCTAAAATTAAATGTTTATTTGAATACAAATTGAAACAAAAAGTATTGCTTTATAGCTAGTAGTTAGTCATAGTGGTTGATTATCATTTTAGAGTTAAAATGAAGTTAATACCAAATTCATATTGTATATTTTTAAGTCTTTTCTCTTCAGAATTGGTATTTGGAAGGAAAGAAAACGTCTATTTTATTAAGATATTAAAACATTTATCTTATGTTTATCTCAAGATTCTATGCCTTTCCCGTAAATTAATTTTTTTTATAAGAGTTTTATGCTGTGATTTCAGTCATTTCATTTTTATTATACCCATAAGAGGATTACTTCTGTATAGTATTTAACCCTTTTTTTTTTGAAGTTATACTTTGTTTTGATTCTATTTCTGCTGTTTAAAAGGTTATAAATCTTTTATGTTATTTATCAAAGAAAAGATTTTATAACCTATTTTGATATTGTATTAATTTTTTTTTTTCCTATTATTTCTTAGGGTAAATCTGTTAGCCCATTTCAACCAATATTGAAACAGCCAACTTTGATGTACCTTTTCTAAGAGTTTCTTAGTGTTCAAATACTTTTTTTTCTTTTTTGCTCTTGTTATGAAAATGATGCATATAATAATTGTGGAGATTTAAAGGTGAAAAAAAAACTTTGCATTAAAGTGTGCATCATAGAAAAATGCTTTTTTTTTTCTTTTTTTGTAAAATTGTTTTTTTTTTTTTTTATCAAATATATATTAGAAATGGCTATTTTAGTTTGCGTTTGAATAAAACATCCAACTACATATAAAGTAGCCCCCCATGAACATACGTTTCAGACCCTAGTAAGTTCCTCTCCTCAAAAACAATTTTCCCCAAAATTCTGTTGTTAAGCCATTGATGGAGTTTGGTTCCATCGATGAGTACCACTATATCTAGAAAGTAATTGTGGGTGTACAGTGCTGACCACATTGTAGATTGTTGGTCACAAAATAATGGAGCCTTTAACTTCATTGTCCCCTGGCTCACAGCAAGCTGTTGCAGGAATGCTTTGTAGAGTTCAAAATATTAAAACTTACTATTGATTCATTCTTTTATGTTTTAATTCATAATGGTTTTATGACTACTTTACTTTTTAAGGTACATAGCAAATTTTATTTGCTCTTTTAATTTTTTTAGTGTGTCTTTTATAACTGCAAATTCTACGTTAAATATGTAGACCTCTTTTATTTCTGATTTGAATGTGCATTTAATCAACATTATATTTACTTTCAATTAATATTTCCGTAGTATTTCAATTTGTTTAAGCTATTTTAGTGTACTTCATGCTGTGCTGTTCATTCAACTCATATATTTCAATATGTCATTTTTTTTAAAAACAGAAAAACCATTATAGTATCATGTATATAATCTGTTAAGAAAAAGTGTCCTTTTTGATATAATCTGAGTGCCATTTTAATCTCAAATCTCTGATGAATTTGATGCCTTAAAAATTTTGAATTTTTTTTATTTATTTATATATGATGTTTGAATTTTGTTTTTGATTTTCAATTCAAGTAATACTTCTGAAGAAAATCGCCTGGAAAATTAGGAATACTTGCGTGTTCCATTATGATTCACAATAGGATTCTTAGGGGAATAACAACAACAAAAAAAGAAGTTAAAATTTGATGTGCTTTTTTTTTAATTTATTTAAATTTGAACCTGACTATTCTGAATCATCCTTGATGTCCCTAGAATTTTTTTGATGCTTATATTTAATGGATATTTAAACACAAATTTACCAATTTTCACCTATTTTTGGTAGATTGGAAATATTGATAGTGCTATGCTAGAATAGTCAACCTTTTTAAGAAGAGCTCAAGAAAAATTATGCATGCCACTTCCAACATACTAAACATTTAAAAAAGCAAATAAATGTTATTCATAAGTTAATTATTTAATCTTCTTGCTATGTTCTTAGATATCAACTGCATTAGACAGCCAGGGTGTCTCTCTTGCTGAAGAAGGGGAAAATGTTTTAAGACATAACCATGGCAATGCAAGGTGATTCAAATCATTGAGCTTGTACTTGCACCGTACCCACTCAGTCTTATCCCATGTTTGTTCCTAGCAGTATAGTTTTTTTGACACCATGTTATTCTATAGGACTTTAAAGGATTTTGAAATCCATTTTTCTAACTCCTAAATTTTTTTAATAAGCCTTCATGTGTCACTGTTTTGTTTTGGGTGGGCCATCCATAAAATTGGGAGATAATGAAATGAGCTATAAGTGAAACTGAGTGGCATTCTCACACATTGATAAATCTTTCTGGTAAGTAAATTTAAAGCAAATGTAATATAAATTCAGTTATTTTACTAACTCTTTAATTTTTTAATAAGTCTTTACATGTCCCAGGATGGCCATCCATAGAATTAGGAAATAATGGAAAAGTCTGCAAATTAGAATATATGGCTCATTGGCAAAACTTTCCAGGTGAGCAATGGAACATCCAGTAGATTTTCTGAATAAATTGAATCAACGTCGGAGAAACCTTTCTAAATCTGCTGCTAGACTGCTTGATTGTTGGAAGGTATGTTTGTAATGTGGTAAAGAATGTGTGGCCTCATGTTAAAAAACAGTTGGGGGGAAAATTTATAATTAGAAGAAGAAAAATTTACAATTTCACTATGTATTTTTGTTTAATTATGCCTATTTGTAAATTTTATATGTTTACAGATATTTTTATTTTTAAGTTTGAATTAAATAGAGCCAATTGGTTATGCTTAAGAAAATAGATAAAATGAATGTTATATAGACATACATGATAATAAAAAATTTTTTTTGTTTGTTTCCATTTTCAATCTGAGCATTTTTTTTTTAACTACTTACATAAAAGTTTGATTAAGATGCTTTAAGTGCATAAATTTTAAATTATTTCACCTCGAAAAAAAAACGATTTTTTTATTTATTACAAATGTTGTTGGAAACAAAGCATCTTTATAAAGGAGGTAGTTTTGCTAAATTGAAGTATTTTGCTTATCAAATTATTAAAATTTCTTTTATAATACATTACTTGATCTAAAAATTGTAATGAGTAAGTTTTATAATGTACTTGTATGTATATCAGCATTCAGTCATTTTCATTTGGATTCTATAATTAAGTTTTCCCTTAATTCTACTTTTTTTTTAAAAAAATCGTAGCTTTATTTCCATTTTTATTTAATATCTGTGAATTATCACTTAATTTGTACTTAGTAATACTCTGTGCTTAGGTATGTATATTCAGAGACTTATAAATGTAAGAAATTGCTGTTTTTAATTTTATTGTGATCAAGAAGTTTAGTGTTCAAAAATCATTTCTTCACAACTCTTTAAAGCTGTGTAATCTGTAGTGTTTTAATTCTTTAAAAAAATTTTAAATGTCGGTGCATATTTGCATGCCTGCCAATTTTTACAGCTGTACATTGTATAAAGTGACTTTAATTACATACTCATAAAAATTCTATTTTAGATAAATCTATTAGAGAATATGACTAAATAAGTTTTTCTCTCGCGTCATTTGAATCAAGAACCTCTAGGGAAAAAAAATTTTTTTATCCTCACAATTGCTCTAACAAAATTATTGGAAACATTTTTCATCTATTCTCTATGTATGTTATAAAGAGAGTAAATTCTTTGTCTTGATAAAAAGCAATATTCTTTTTTTTTCTTAAACTTATATGGCAATTAAAATATACAGGTCGTCTACCTTTAAATATAAGCTAATTAATTTTTATACAAATCATCAAGATTAAATTCAAATAAGTAACTCAAATAATATTAGTTATTAATGTTATAATTTTTCTTACTTTCCAACATAGCATATCTAATTCATTCTGAAAGCTTCTAACGAACATGTAGTTGCTAAGAATTTGAAACGCATTCATGAAATTTGCTTTATATGCTGCAAAAACTTTAAAACCACCTGTTAAGATTGGCAGGTACGTAAATGGTTCCACTAACTGCAATGTAATTTAATATAGTTGAATGCCAAAATATTTACCTGATTCCAAAATTTGGATAATTGGTTTTTGTTGAACCATGTTCAAAATAAAGTTATTGTTTTAATATACTTTTTGCTTTGTATTCCTTTTAATCAAAAGCACTCACAAAATGTAGTTTTTGAAAGGAAAGGATTAGAGATTCAACTTAAGTTAAATACATTAAACGCTATGTTTAATAGAGTGATAATATGTGTCATAATAAATATATAATTTAATTAATAATAAGGAAAACATAATTAAATTTTTATGTGAAATAAAATGATTCATTTTAAAGAAATAATCAGTAATTATTGTAGAATTCAGCACTTAGCTTGTACATTATTATAGTTAATAAATATAATTTGGTATGTCAATATGAAAAAAAAATAATCAGGTTGGGTAATTTTTCTTGATTTCTACCTCTCTCATATTGTGAACCTTTATGGCTGGCCCAGTAGTTAAAAGGCACTGAACTGTAATTTTGAAGGACTGGTTCAATCTTCACAGTTAATGACTTTAAACCTGCCCAGCTTCAGATCGATGGGTACCAGCTTGTCTGAAAAGTAAATGTGTCTTGTGCTCCGCACTGATTACATTGCCACTATCTGGCAATTGGTCACAAAATTGTTGAGCTTTTACCTCCATTTACTTTTGTTTTATGCTTACATTTTGAAATGAATTAATCCATTTTAAAATTACAATTCAAAGTGTGTATTAATTTCTCTTATTAATTTTTGAAAAGGTTAAATTATCTATTAAAGTGTCTTCTCTTCTGTATTAATTTTTTCTTTTCTTGTGCAGGCCAAATGATTTACGATGGAATCAGTTTTGGTATATCTTTGTTTATAGTTAGCTCATAGATATTTTTTGTGACAGCAATATGGCCTCTCTCTGTTGAAAATTCAATGACCTATTTATTCAAGTGAAAATGAAATCCTTAAGTTTTTCATTAAATCATGCACAAATAATCAATGAAAAAATTGTTAAAATAAATTCGGTAAGACTTAAGACATTTCTTTTATTGTGCTAAGTTGTCAATGTTTTCGTTTTCCCACATAGTGCTTGTTTAATTTTTTTACGATTTTCTGTTCTTTAATATTTTATATGTTCGTTAACGTTCATACCAGCAACTTTGAAATAAACTACAAAATTTTGATTTCAAGTGCATACCAATAGCTCCACATAGGAAAAAGTTAAGCTCTGATTGGCCAAAAAAATTACATCATCATATAAGGGGGAAGCTTAGAATTGTTTTGGACCAAACCTTCAAATCATCTCATGTTTTTCTTGATCTCATGATCAAATCATCTCATGAGTAAATGTTTTTCTTTTATGTGTGGAAAACATTTTGGTTTTTTTGTTAACAGGAAAATAATATACGAACTGTTGGACACATAGCATTTTATTGTTTTCTAAAAATAATTTTAAATTTACATTCTAAAGAAGTTTTAACTTTATAAGCAAATAAATTTTTTACTATAATGATCACTTAAATAGCAACTATATGTAACTTATAAATGAGAAAAATAAAATTGAAATTAAATAATTTTGTTAAGATATCAATCCTATAACTTATATAAGTGTGAAATAACTTTGCACCCAACTATACATCACCTGCTCAGCAGTGCACATGCTATGTTATTTAGTAATGATTAAAAGAACATCTTTTAATGTTTTGTTACATTTTTTAATGTCATTTTACAGCACTTACATAAACATGGGGCATAGTAAGAAATGAGTACACAGATTAAAAAGAAACGTATATAAACAAAATATTCTCTATTTAAAAATATTTAATACAACAGAGCTTTAAACTAGCGAGTTATGCTTTAAATGTATAGCTTCATTTTCAAAAATTTGTAAATAAACATCTTTTTATTTATTAAGGATTCTAACTTAGACGTTAAGATATTTTTGTTGCAGTTTAAATTTTATTTCTTGTAAAAAGCTAAGTCTGCAAACAAATATTCTAATACTTTTTTTTTTTTTTTTTTTTTCAATTTTAGACTATCCATTAAAAAAAGTATTTTAACGTTTCAATTTTACATTCATGAAGTATCTCAGCATGTATTGCATTCAAACTGCTTAATAGCATAAACTTTATAATAATTTTTTGTTCGAACCTTTAATGGCTAATTTTGAAATATGTTTACAAATGATTTCAAGATGAATAACTTGGTCTCACACATTATTTAATTTTTTTATTATAATTTTTGATACCTATGATATTTCGTCCTAATATCATGCTGCTTGTAAGCATGTAATTAATATAGGGATTATTCTAAGAGCAAAATAATGCATTTTTCTTTTTTAAATCTGAAATTTATGCGTCTGCAATACAATTACATAACGTGGAAACAATGTGTACAAAAACAATCAGAGTTTCATCTAAAATTTTAAGATGACATTATTCATATTAAAACATCGATTTTACTTTCAGGTCCTGTCCTACATGGACGCCAGACACAGAACTGTTAGGAGTCCTGTGGTCGTTATATTAAACCAAATTTGCATGTCGTTTAGTTATGAAGTGTTTTTAAATTATTAATAACATAAGTAAATTACGATATATTAGTAAATTTGAGCATATATTTATTTCAATTTTTATTTACTCTTAATTCTAATAGATAATTCTTAAGAAGAAGCACGAAGAAATCATTTGCAACATTTAAGGAGGCCTGGGCCTGTCAGGCCTTATGATAAATCGGACATTGTTCATTAGATGGAGCAAAAAGTCTTTCTAATTGTACATAGTAAGTGTATCATCGTAAGGTTAAACCATGTATCAAAATTGTGTATCTTATTTTAAGGTCGTTGTATTAAATAATTTTTATCTTAATATAATTTGTATTTCGTAGTATAATAATAGGGTCATAAAAATTTACAATATAAGTATGTTTTTCCCTTCACATCTTTTAGCCATCCATAAGACGCACCTTTTTTTTTTCCTAATGTACTTAACTTTTAAAAATATCCTGCCTCTAAAACATTTTCAGTAATGAATGCTATTACTATAGTAAATACTGATAATGGTCATTCTCATCCTAAACTATCACTTTTTTAGTAGCATTACTTGTAACCTTAAAAAATGTGAGTTTGTCCACTTTCAAATACAACTTACGAACAAATTAAGGAAATTCGAACACCAAATGAATTTCAAATAATATTGAATCTTGTCTTATGTAAGAAATAGTAAGGAGAAAAAGAAAATATTTTGCAAATCAATGCTTGTCATCTACTCAAACAATCTTTGTTGTCAACTGGAATACATTTCCAAAAATTAAACGTGTTGAAATTTGATCCCTCATTTTATACAATGTTAATCTCCAGAGCATATCAAGATTATTAAACTTAGAAACAAAATTGAAATAAAAAGTTCTCATATGATTTATCACATTTCATATAATTCTTCAGTTACCGAATTACATTTTTTTTCTTGGTTAGTGGTCCCCATACTGGAAGGTCTCTTAGCCACTTTCCCTCGTGCATTTCTACAGATTAAACATGTTGAAATTTGATCCTTCATTTTATACAATGTTAATTTCTAAAGCATGTTAAAAGTTCGAAACAAAATTGAAATGAAAAAGTTCTCATAAGATTTATCACATTGTATGAGATTCTTCAGTTACCGAATTACGTTTTCTTTTTTGGTTAGTGGTCTCCATACTGGAAGGTCTCTTGGCCACTTCCCTTCATATAGCTCTCCCAATCTCTTTTTGGTGTAGAGGACACTCATTATGCTGAAATGAAATTTCTGTGTTTATATTTAAAACCCTGTTATATATAAGAAAAAATCTATTGCGAAGTAATGTTTCTCAGCGATTTGAACTCGCTGTCGTACTAAAGGTTAGTTAAGAGTAAATTATATTTAAATTGAGGAAATAAGTATCAATTTAATATCAAATTTTCCCCCTTGAGTATTTTTTTTTTTAGTATTTATTATGATCTTTCAAAACGTAGAAAGACTGAAATCGCATTTGAAACAAGGAACTGTATTTCTGATTTTTAAGATTAAGATGTAAAAATATATACTTTTGGACATATTGTCCATTTTTAGATCTGGTTATTACTGTTAACAATTATGAATTTACACCTTATTACTGTTATTGAAAACAAATTAAAGTATGCGTTTAACGGAGAAAGCTTCAAAAGTTACATCAAGTATATATGTATTGCTTCTACTTAATTCCGGAAATCGTAGACATTTGCGTTTCTTTTAATTTTCATTTTAAGCAAAGCTATAAGACTTGCTAAATTAGGATTTTTACTGTTAGATTTAGTTTAATTAGGTATAAAATAATATTTATCTGTTCACTTTAATACATTGAATTATTATAAGTTTCCTTTCTACGTAAAAAAAAAAAATGTTATAGTTTCACAACAAATACTTGTTTAACATCAGTTAATTTTATCCAAACCCAAATATTATCGATATACGCTTATATTTGGCTCTTAAAAAAATTTATTTATCTCATCAGGAGAAAAAATAGCTCTTTGATTCCAAAAATGTTGCTTTTTTTTGTTCTAAAATGTATCAATCTTAGATATAAAGTGTTTTTATTAAATCTTTATAAACATTTTGCCCATTACTTTGATAAAGATAACACACATACGACATTATGTTGACATAGTAGTAGTCTATTCCACCGAACTTAAATGTTAAGATACGGACATAATTTAAATGTCATATTCTTTATTCAGTCCCACTGCAATCCCACAAGTAATTATAGTATTGGACTTCAAAACTTATAGATGTTTTGTTGGCTTGATTGTGATTGAACTGAAATGAAAATATATACTTATTTTAACTAAGTTGTTTTAAGTGTTTATGTTCTCAGTAAATCTCAAAAACCGTAAATGTGGTATGTCAACCGGTGATCCGTTTAAGTGCAGAATCTAGAGTTTTCCGCATTTTAGGGCACATAAGGAACTTTCACATAGTTAAATTTCAAAAGTCCTTAATTATAATAATATTTGAAACTTTTTTATCCTTTGTATTGTATTTTTTTTAATCGATAGAACATTGGTAATATCAACTAATTTGTTGGTTGTATTAACTAACGAAAAACAAATAAATAAATTTCTGTTAATTTCAGAATATTAAAACGTTGCGGTGTTGATCCAACAAAAATCTTACTTCCACTTTAACGAGTGCCAAGTAGGTAATGTGCAGATCAACAAGTGCTTTATTATCAATGTACAAATGATCTAGTTAATTTGCAGATTGCCCTGGAAATTTGAGAAATGAAACAATTTTCAGTTCTTTAACAGATTCATCATATTTCATCCGCATATTACTTAGACTATCAGTGGAAATTGCTGATTACTTTTCTTTAGCAATAATATATTTACACATCAAGGGACCTGTATGAAAATCATACTTACTACTTATAGAAGTTTGGAGTATATTGTGCTCCCCACAACATGAATAAAAACGGTTGGAATGCTATCCAAGATTCATATAGCCGATTAGCGGCTGCTACTAAAGCTAGATGTGCGCATCTTTCTGAAGTCATATTTTCGCATTCATAATGATGGTATTCCTTCTCCAGTACCTGTTAAATATTTAAAATAATGTGTTCAAAACGTACTGGTGAATATCAGTTTCAGTAAATGTTTTTTTATTATTATTATTATTTATTTATTTTTTTACCTTTTCTGTTTGAGTTGTAATAGTTTTTTCAAATATGTTCGAACTGAATATTCCTGGGACCACTGTAGTTACTGTTATGCCATATCTTTGGACTTCCATTCGCAAAGTGTCAAAGAATCCCTAGAATCATTTTGAACTGATAAATGAACACAATGAAAATGTATGAAATTTCAAGTCTTTCCCCTCCCCATGTTTTTGCCACATCATTCAGAGGTAAAACAGTTTAGAAAAAATATATGTATCCTTTTTTTTTTTATTAAGTTTCGATTCTGCGTGCGCAATATTGCCTCAATGTTACAGGAAATATATTAAGTAATACAGTTTGTTTTACAAATTATCTATTTATCGTTATGAATTGTAACTTGGCTTTTTGTTAAGAAAAATTACAACAGTCCCTCTCGTGTAGTTTATTTTCTACATGTAAATACGCTCTCTCCACTACACCAAAACGTCCGAATGATCTTACTTTGTTCTATTTTTTAGCTCATTCGTTTTTGTGTCAGTCTCCGTTCCGTTTGATTTCGTTTCTTTGACTAAGTAATTCAGTGTTAAGTATCGAAATTATTGCCGTTTTTTTTTTTTTTTTTTGTGAGGAGAAATGGCACTGTTACTGTATTTATTTATATTTTGCACAGTTTGTTTATAACGTCCAGATCCAGAGTTAAATTCAGACGCAAAAGTAACATATATATAAATACTCTCTTATTACCATTATTTTTTCTCTTTGTTAAAAAAAGTTTTTGCTTTAGGAGTCGCTAATGAATATTTAAGTGAACGAACAAAAACGATAACCAAATAGCACTTATGTCGAGGAAAAACAAAAGAGGGTTTAAAATCATTGAAAACTAGCTTATCTGTCCAGTGATATTGGAATACATTTGAATTTTGTTAACTTCTTCAGGTTTTTATGATTCTTCCATAAGTAAAGTTTTTGCAGATGATTTTATTCCTTCCTTTACTTGTATTGATTAAAATAATGATTTTTTTATTCTATTCGTGCCCTCTAGTATGCTTATTTTTTAAATCATTTTATGCGTATTTTTTAATTCATTTTATGCGTATTTTTTAATTCATTTTATGCTTATTTTTAATTCATTAATTACTAAAGTTTATACAAATAAAAATGCAGCATGGGCGCAGTATTAGCTGAAAAACGTCCTATCAAATCTGAAACAATATCAGATCTTTATCAAAATTTTCTATGTATAGTTATGAGGATTTTTCCGATAGCACAGGACTACACACAATTTCGCCCCTGTGGTTTTTGTAATTGCTCTTTACTATGAATGCTAATTTATTCAATTGTGTAAACGGCTTGTGTGTTATCAACTTAACCTTAAAGTAGCAAGGTTGTGAGACATCCTATTTTCACAGCGACTCAAAAATATTACGTTCGTTACCAGGAATTTTAAAATTGATTTTGATTTCATTTTGTTAAGTTAATTTCATGTGGAAAAAGTTGTTTCTTCATAAGCTCTATTTTTAAAGGTTCCTCCAAGATCTTTTAAATTCAACTACTTTTTGTGATTATTAATCACGTATAATAATTTTAGTAATTTAATCACGCTAAAAGAACAAAATGTTAGGAAGGAAAATATCAAATATAGTCGTAATCAGTTTATAGTATCAGGCAACAAAACCTAATTAGAAAAATCTCAAGTTTGTCTTTGCTTCAAATTTGCCAGGATATCATGATATACGATCTTTCATGTAAGTCCTGCTCGTGATACATAAAATTAATTCATACTTGTTAAAAAATGTTTTGTAAATGAGTAAAATAAGAATATTTTATTGTCTCTCTGACGTAGAATTGTCTTAATATAGTATTTTTTTCTAAAAGTGATACTAAATAGAAAATAAAGTAAATTAAAACATTTAAAATTCACCATTTATAAAATTTTAAGCTACCATTTTTTTTTTTTGGTTTAACTACTAAGCTCTTACTTAAGTTCTGCAGAGGCTTTGGGGCTCAGAACCTATACGACTTTAAATGTTGTAGACTGTGACCCTGAGTCTCCTAGGACAGCGGTTCCCAATTTTTTTTTTAAATATATTTATATACGAAATATTTTTATCACTAAGAGTATTAAAATTTGGTTTTTGTCAGACAGTTAAATTCCCAGTTCTGGAGTTGTATTTTAATATGAGCTTTTATGAATAGACTGATACTAAATATAATAAGCTGAATGATGATTTTCAAAAAAAGAACTGTTGAAACGCTGAGAATGGTTATCAATATACACCGAAGAACCATTACATTATTACCACCCTCCATCTATAACAATGGGCTTGCCCAGGTTCTCATGGTTTCTCGCCCGGGAACAATGTTTTCATGGGGCACATTAGGACCCATAATCCTCATAGAACAATCCCTGACGTCTGTAAGCTACTTGAACACAGTTGCAGACCAGGTTCATCCATTCATGGCAACAGTTTTTCCTGCGGGGGATGGTGTTTACCAATGCGCCATGTCATAGGGGTCGAATCGTCTTGGATTGTTTCGAGGAATATTCCAGTGACTTTCAAGTCATGTCTTGGCCCCCAAATTCACCTGACCTTCAATAGAGCATTTGTTGTCCTACTTGGAAAACCAAATTCGTGCTGCCACGCAATGTAAGGGAATTGCAGGACCAGTTGGTGAGCGCTTGGTACCAGATACCTCAGACTACCTATCAGCACCTTGTGGAATCAATGCCACGGCGTGTGCTAGCAGTTTTGAGGGCTAAAGGTGGTCCTACATGTTATAAGCAGGGTGGTCATAATGTAATGGCTCATCGGTGTATATATATATTCTTAAATGTGACTTTTTTTATTTATTTTTTTAAGTAAAATTTTACTGAAAAATACTGAAGGAATTTTTTTATAAAAGCGTATACTTTTCATAATTTATTTAATATATTATTATTATTGAAAAAAAATCGTTAAATTTTGCTATTTCATTGACATTTTACTTACATTATTTCATGTAATCCATCGAAACATTAAATAGATCAGGGGCCGTTCCAAAAGTACGTACATCACGAAAGGGGGGGAGGGGATTTGTTATTTTGTACGATGAGGAGGGGGGGAGTTATTATACAAAGTACGTACATTATAAGCATACAACAAATTTAAATTTGACTTTTTCCTACGCACGTATTATACATATGTTTGTTCTTGTATATTTTTTTTTCACACGGCGACCACTTGTTAGAATGAGTAAATCAGTTCTCAAAAAAAGTTGTCTCGCAAAATAAAAAATTGCAAACACCGAACTTTCCCCGATTGGTGGTATTTCCCCGTTGGGTGTTATTGTTTAAATAATTTAAATGAATAAATTATTTTAAATAAATATTTAATTTTATTAAAAACATAATTATTTTAATTTTCATCAAAAAGGGGGTAGACTAATAAAATGTACGTACTCTAGGGGGGGGTACGACCTCATGTACGGTAACGTACGAAGGGGGAGGAGGGGTTTAAAATTTCTCCATTTTTGTGTACGTACTTTTTGAACGGTCCCTCATGCATTACTGATTGTATTTTAGTATAATTGCAGGTTTCAACAATCATTTACCGGTTAAAGAAATAAGTCTTAATTCACGGAACCCTTCTGACCTCCCACGGAACTCAAAGGTACAACAGAACACCTTTTGGGAACCATTGTCCTAGGCCAATCTTCTCCTCTCCTATTTTTTCCAGTTATTATTTGAGGAGAGAAAAAATATCTTCATTTTATTCAAATTAAAAAAGAATAATAATAATAATTTTTTATAAGCCACGTGTAGTTTCAGAAAGGTTAGAAATTTGGGAGAATTTTCTTAAAAATTTTCGCAGCAAACGCTATTTTGCATTATTGAAGCACTTTCATATCAAGTAGAAATTTATAATTAAAAGCCTCTAATGTCTATCTTTTATGGAGAAAAAAATACAACTTACGTGTAGAGCATGTTTCGTGGCAGAATAAGACCCAGTGGAAGGAATTCCTTTAAAACATTTGCGAAGAATGCAAATTTAAATGACATACATTATAAAAAGATAATATTCAATATTATTATGAAAGAAATATAATGTGTGCTCACCGAACTTGCCAGCGATGCTAGAAACAACTACTATGTGACCATAACCTTGTTGCAAAAACTGTTTAATCACTGTTTTAGTCAGAGATAATGTGCCAAAAAAATTTACTTCAAATATTGCTTTGTCTACTGAAATATCTGTTTCAGTAATGGCTCCTACTGAATAACGTGCAGCATTATTGATTAGAACATCAATCTAAAAGACAAAATAAAAATAACATTCATGTTAAGTTCGATTGTTATTACAAAAATAAATATGAGCTACATTAACTGTTGAACCAAACATACATTGCAATTTACTTATACCAGTGTGATATATAACACAAAAACATACCCTTTCAAAATGATCCACCGCTCTTTGAACATTTTGCTTATGGCATTCGAAGTTTGATAAATCGAAAGGGAGGACTAGAATATCATGATCAAACAATTTTCCTTCTGATCTTCCTAGGAAAAAAAAAAGATTATTTAGTCGTATACTTTAAGTCAAGGGTATCCAAACTGCTACCCAAAACCAGCCCACCATTATTAGAAATTCGGTCCGTGTCAATGCAGTCTATCTTATCCGACATAGTTTGTTTTGATTACATCATAAAGCTTAAAACGTAAATAAATCTTATAATGTAATAATTAAAGGATGCAGAATAACTAATACACGTAATATAATTGAACATTTTAATTATAATTAATGCTGTGAAAGTTTTCATTAAACCCTAACAATAAGTGACGTATTCCTCTTTGAGTATTGGGCTATCTGCATTATTAACACACAGAGTGCACAACAAAGATGGGGATAGCAAATACAACCACAAGACTTTGAGGCATCTCAAAATGAACTAAGAGATGGCCCACTATTTTAATAAGGTATTTATATAATTCAACTTTCTGGCTAATTCCGAAACGAAAATTTGCGCTGTATGTAGTATGATAAATCTGCAATTAGGCAAATAAGTCAAAAATACTCAAAGCAACTTACCAGGGGAGAAGAACAAGTAGCTTTGGATAATGATTAAAATAATACCTAAAACATGAGAAATTAGCAGTTTTTCATGTTCTGTGCTTAAAACACTGAACTGTCATTGTTATTGACTGGGGTTCGATCTCCTGCGATGGCTTGAAATTCACCCAGCTTCAGATCGATGGGTGCCATTTTGCCTAAAAGGTGAAGTTGGCCTGTGCGAAACTTTGACCATGCCATTGATCATAAAATTGTTAAGCGCTAACTTTTATGAACACCTGACTCCTCAAAGGACTTTTCGAACATGCTTTACTATATATATTTAAAGGTAACAAACAACTTGTGTATTGCAAAAGAAAGATAAAATATAGTTAAAATGAGTATTGCAATTTCGATTTAAATTTTTTTTTTTTAATAGCAACTGTTTATAGAATAGTGCTAAGGAAAACATACTTAAACATTCCTCTTTCACCTTTTGAAGTAAGTCAGTACTTCTTGCAGTCAAAATCAGTTTTGTTCCCACGGCAGCAAGTTCATATGCCATTGCTTCACCTAAGCCAGTAGATGCTCCAGTCACCCATACTACTCGTCCCGAAAATGAGGCTAAAATTGAATTAGAAATGTTATCAAAAATAGAATAGCATTAAACATATTACAACGTATTTATAATACTGTTTTTCTTTTATACTGGAAATGATACGCATTTTTGTCGAAAAGTTCGTAAATACTGCGTACAATTTAAAATATTTCATTAAAATCACATTTCTGCATACATACATTTCTCCAATACTAGAAAACATAGGTATTGAAATTCATAGTTTTTATTATTTACGGAGATTCTTAAAAAATTATCAGAATGATTTTAAACTCGTGTATGAAAAAACTATATACTTGGAGCACAACACAATTTTCACTAGAAAATATCGAGTTTCACAGTTAAGTTTTTGAATTTTCTAATTTTAAAAGTAAACTTAATGACCATAATATTTCCATATTTTACTACAAATGGGCAGAAATTTATTATTATTATTTAACTGCACAAAACGAATAACCGTTACTATAAGTTAGTTAAGATTCTATCTGTTGATCACTCTTACTTTATAAGCTGTAAACTTGTCTTTGAAACTTAGGACTTAATTATATCTCCTTCGGAAAAAGGATTACAATAAATTCGTTATTGTAGAAATAGCACCATTTAAACATTACTGACCCAACTAAAGAACCGCGTAATAGCGTGACATCTATTAACTTCAAATTAACTAAGCTAGATTTTAAAAAAATCAATGAACGGAAAATCCATTAACTTATAACTTCATACATTATTGTAAACACTGCGTCTTGCAAATAATAATGAGTAATTAAGTACAAATCGAATAATTGTGTACAAATATAAATATTTATGTACACAAAGTGCTTTCCAGCATAGATATAAATTGCACTTTTTATATATTTTCAGAATCAAAAGCGAAAATCTATGTTTATAATAGGCATCACGCGTTAACATTTTTAGCTGAAAAATAATGTTTTCAAAATGTAATAATTTATAACAGAAGTCAATGGCAGTTTAAGGAGCTTTTACAACAGATTGTATTATGAATTTAAAATTAAAATCAACCAAACTAATTTATTTATGGGGAAAACTGAAATTCGAAGTGCCTTTCGATTCCATCCTTCAAAGAAGCTGTTCTAATCAATTTTATTTCCATCTTTATGATAATTAATGTTAATTTGTACATTTAGTTTAACTATTTTTATGAATGGGAAAAATAACAGTTTATTAAATTTTTAAATAAATTATATAGTTTGGATTGTTATGTAAGTTTTTTTTTCTTTAACGTTATGCTCTAACTTAAATTACTTGATATTTTGAAGATAGTACGTTTAAACAAATTTTCAACGAAATTCAAACTGTCTTTGATTATTAGATAAAATATTACAATATTACTTACAAATTGGCTTTCCATATTTTTCAACTAAAGTCAGAGTTAAATCACAATCAGTCGCTAGTAAGGCCCAAGTTAGGTATAGGATAATGGCCACAACTACAAGTGACAGGGCAAGTTCTAGCAAAGTGATCATTATCTCCAGCTAATATATTCAGCCTAAAAAATATAAAAATTCTTTAAGCTAAAATAATCTTTGGAAATAATAATCCAAAGAAAACCTAAAAACTCATCATCCATTTTTAGATCCAGATGCTCGAAGAAAAAAAAGGTATAAAGAAATTTGCTATTTGTCTTAAAATTATACCATTAACAGTTCGAAATAAGCACAGAAAGTGAGAGTATTTTTACCGTGCTTGCCCTACATGAAGCTGAACTACTTTCTTGCTAAATAAATATCATCATAAAAAAAAAAGTGTTTGGTATTCCAGTCGTCCAGGTTGTAGCAACCTTCAACTTTTTAAAAAGTTCATAAGTATTGCTTCGCTTTGTTGTTCATCGAATTTCAATTAGCTGATGACCTCTATCTTTTTTTTTTACTGTTTTATTTAAAGCGATACAGTAAGATAAACGTTCAGCCAATTTAAGTAACTGTTTTATTTATTTTTATTTAGCGGCATTAGATTTAATGATAAACTAAGGGCTTGGAATTAAATAAGTATTTTGTAAATATATTGAAACAGATCATAGAAAATTAATCTAGCTCAGCGGTTCGCAATTTTTTTCGGCTGCGGATCCCTAAATAATCAACCTTCTTTCGAAGGAATCTTCATAAACTTTATAAATAAAGTTTATTAAAGTAATGGTGAACGTTATAGTTAATAAAAAACTATTTTTAAAATATTTAATTAGAGAAAAAATTTTTTTATCGTTTTATCGATAACAATCTTCAATTAAGTTTTATGACGAACAATTAAATTTGCATTCGAATGTCGAACAATTAAATTTGTACTATATCTATTAGTCTAATTATGAGTCTATTCTAGTTCGTTTTTGGTGTATATACATAAACAAAAAATGATTAAAATAAGTCGAATTATGGTTCGAGATGAAAACTTAAAACTGTTATAAACGTTGAAAAAGGTTATTAAGAAAGCATATTTCTTTATTAAATCATTTAATTATTTTATTCAGATTTGAAAAGTGAGATAGGAAATTCTAAAGCAATATTTTATAAATGCTCGCTCTTTTCATAATTTATTTAATGTATTATTAGTAGAAATATTATATTTTCTTTTTAAAAAAATGCTATTTCTATTTCTTTGGAATTTCGCTTGAAATAATTTCATAAATGCGACCGAAGGACTAAATAAATTATGAATTATAGGTTGCATCTAAATATTATCAGAAGTTTCAAAAATCATCACTATAGCTATAAGAAGTATTAACTCCCAGAACCCCTTTAATTCTTCCATGGAACCCTAGACCTCCACGAAACATCATTTGGGTATCGCTGATCTAGCTTATACTTAAAAGCAATCTACAGAGTGTTTATAAATTCCCGGACCCATTTTGATATTTAATAACTCATAAAATAATGAAGATATAATCAAACTAATTGATGGAATAACTTATAAGGTTTGAATATCTTTACAAAAGTAAAGATATTCAAACCTTTTCAGGTTTGAATATCTTTACTTTTGTATATCGTCTGTCTAAATATCTGTATTTTTCTAAATATCGTCTGCTTATTAATTGCATTTTTCTCTCTTTTGTTTTTGGCAACTATTACTTACGTCGACTTTTTTCTTTGGGGATTTATAAAGGACAATGTTTACAGGAGGATCGTGTCGAACATTGATGACCTGAAAGCATTAATTTTAATCTATCGTTATTATTTTATGAGTTATTAAACATCAAAATGGGTCCGGGCTCCGGGACTTTATAAACACCCTGTATAATGGAAACTGATTTTGCTTGTATGTATTTTATTCTGCTACAAGTTTTTATTCTTAACCTATTTGTGCGATAGGTGGAAAATAAAAACTAACAAATAAAACAAAATTAAAAATAAAAAAAATAGATGTATGAAAAATTATTCGGGAGTTTTACAGAAAAAATTATGAAAGGGGTGCGTGTATCTCCCCCCCCCCCAATAATTTTCTTAGAGTTTCAGAATTTTTTCGATATTTCATAGTTTTTTTTTAAACACAAAAATTTTTTTGATTAATTACATTTTGTTAGCTGATTTATGTGTAATTTTACAAAATGATTTTATTATTATCACTATTCAGTGATATCTCAAAAATTACTCTTTTGTCTTAAAACTATAATAAATTCATAGATACTCTGTCAAAGTTTTTTAGTATGAGTTTAATTTATTTTTGTTTTATAGTTTTATACAATCAGTTCACAATTAATGGGCCTAATATTTTTAATCAGTCGTCGGAATAAATTTCATTTGAAAAAAAAAAGTTTTTTTTAAATAAATTAGTATAAAATAATTTTCACATAATTGAATAGAATGTGTTATAAAGTATCTTATTAGACTATTAAAGAACTTCGGAGAATTTGTCACCAGATTACCTACTGAAACTTAAAAATTGGTTGTTAAATACGATCATACATTTTGAAATTTTTATTCTTTTAGTTTTCAATTCAAAAACTACAATTATACATTCTGATGAAGGAGATTATCATAAGCATCTTAGCTAAAAGTTAAAAACGAAATAGATAAAATATCATTTATTTTATTTACGCATTGTTTTATATATGTATTATTTTGTTCTACCTTTTTTTCACTCAAAACAAAGTAATCAACACTAATAATGAAAATTAAGCATTTATTATAAGTATGTTTTGTGATAATCGCGATTGTATTATATTTATACCTCTTTATAATTTAAAAACTGAGTAGGAAAATCTAACTAAATATTTTTCCACCAATATGAAGAAGTTCCTAAAATTTGAAATAAATATATGAATATATTTTAAATTAATATAATTTTAAAAATTAGAGGAAAATTGCACTTTTTTTTGTATCCATTTATTGAAATTAGAAAAGACGCTTCAAACTTTACCAAAAGCATATTTCTTAATTCAGTCTCTCATCTGATTGTGCGCCAAACCAATTAGTGAAAAGGGTGCACCAAATCAAATCTTCGGATAATACCAGGTCAACCTTCGTACACTGATTAGGTAACGATGTTATATTGCCGTAACGAAAAAATATAAATTTTTTTTTTTATTCTACTTGTAAATTTGTGTTCAGTTTATTTGAGAATTCAGTTTATTTTTGGGGATTAAATAATGAGATAATATTAAATGTGGAGATGTATAATATTGGATATGGGGATTTAATAATTATTAAAAGCGTATTTAACCATAGCCACCGAGAAATACTCTTGGTGGCTATGATTTAACTCCCCCCCAGAACCGCAGCGATCTGTAAAACTGTAGATTAGAGTTCAGCAAAACGAATCATCAAAGTGATTCGAATCGATAGAATTAATTCCCTTTAGTGATTCGAATCAGTTGCTAGATGGTGATTCGAATCAGTATGCAGTATCACACTTAGTGTACTGTAGATTAGACATTATAACCAGTTAGTTCTTCTAATCTAAGCTTAGCATCTAAAAACTATTTTTTTCTTCCTTTACCATGATCTCGAAGACTCTAATTAGTCTTCACTGATCTACAATAACATTAATTATAATTATTATTGTCCTTATTATAATAGCCCATTTGAAAATCAACTTATATAGAATTATACTATCGTTGCAAAATATTATCTTTAAAAAAAAAAATCCTATCCATCTGAAATAATGAATTGGAGTGTTAAGCTCTTTATTCTTTATTGACTTTACAGGTGTCCCTGAGACAATTAAAAGAAGGTCGAAGGGCTTAACCTTGAAGGGCACCAATGGGAGAAGAGGCAAATCAAAACAATGGTCACTCTCGTCAAAAAACCTTATACCCGACGGACAGAGTTCATTAAGAGCAACACAATAAAGAATCCACCTTTCGTCCACAATTTTCAGGGTCATACTAAAAAGCTAGTTTTTATTTTATTTATTTATTTATTTTCACTTTCACTAAGTGAGAGGAAACGCGAGACCGGCGAAATCTGTACATAATTCTACTAAAATGAAGTGTATTCTATGGTGTTTTGTTCATTTGGAGCAAAATAAAATTCAGATAAGTGTACATCAGTTAATTCAAACCGTTGCCATCCTGTCTTTTAGTTTAATATTTTATTTTTCGATCTTTATGACAATATTCATTAGAATAGAGTAAATAAAGGTTTTCGATAATTAAAAAAAAACACTACCTTTCAAGAGTTATATAAGGACCATCTTCTTTCTGCTCAAAAGCTGTAGAATTTTTAATTTTTTAAAAATATAAAAAAAATTTGTACATTCAGAAATTTCTCAAAATTTGTCTGATGAAAAAAAAATTACCGCTTAAAGGCTAAATATTAAGTAAAATATTGTTTGTGAATTGTTTTAGGATTTTTCGGCAATATTTTCACTTCTTACAACAGCGATGAAATTTTACTAAAAATACAAAAATTTAAAAAATACCTAATATTTAAAAATTGGCAGATGAATATACTATCACACAAACGTTGTGTAATATTAGTCATGAATTGCTTCGAAATTTTTGTGCTTTATTTTCTTCTTTCTTGAGTACTGAACCATAAAGTGTTTTTGTTTTTTTCCAAGTTGTTTAGAATTTGTTTTATTTTTCAAATTAATAATACGACTTATAAAAATGAAACCAAAAGAGGAGAGAAGAGACCGTAAGTTCACAGAAACAGCATGGTTGATTTACATTTGATACGAAACCTTATTAGAGCATATGTTTTCCTTATAAAAGAAGCTAACTCCATTAAGTTGGTCGATGTTTCTGAGCTATTTATGTAAACTCAAAGGACTCTCTCTCTCTGATTGTGTAATCGAAGTAGAAGATCATAAAAAGAATTAAGGAAATTCAGCTTTCAAATCTAACTCCAAACGTTCCATCATTATCTAATCGAGTCGAACGACACATTTCTTTCTTCATTAATGTGTAAAATATTGTACACTTAGAACAATGAACATAACAAAATATAATATTTGTAAAATTATCAATGTTAAAAAACTGAGAAACGTAATTTTATCTACTCCGTTAAAACGTTTGAGTTGTCAAATTTTCTGTAACTATTGTTAAATATTGACGCTTTCTTAAGCATCTAAAAAGCATTTCTTGTTCTATGATGTAGTTTATTTTAGAAAATGTTAAAAACGGAAACTTTATGAAAAATTTAATTTAATTATTGGCTGTTAGAATTTTGTACCACATAACAATGGTAATCTGAAACTTAATTTGCATTTACGGCTACAATACGGTAGTTTTTTATTGTTTATTCTTTTAATGAACCCTTTCGAGGGGTAATTTATTTATTTAATGAGATGGACTACTGTGTTTATTTGAGTCGTTTTCTAACTAATATAATTATTCGTTTATGAATGAATTATTTGCAAATACAAATGCTTAAAAGAAAAAATCTTTGAAATAATTTTAAACAATTAGTATCAAAATAAAATAAGATCGAAAATGATTACTTGCTGATTAAAACAGATACAACATTATCGGTATATTAAAATAAAAAGGCATTTATAAAAGACAACCATCAATCTTTGTGTTTTCTTCTATTGTTCATTAATTTTTATTTTAAAAAGATGTTAATAAGTGAGCTAACGGTTTCAAGTTTTTTATTATCGAATAAAAGAAAAAGAAAAACTAGTGCTTCTCTTCTAAATTAATAATATCTAAACAATCAATGACTGAATAACATTAAAACAATGAACTGAGGAGATGATAGACAGAAATGCAACCATTTATATATTCTGTTATTACCAACTCTTCAAAGAATCATTACAACAGCGATGCGCACAAATCCATTTATTCTGTCATATCACTCATGCGATAAGTGCTTAAAATAGCAGCACTCGAAACGTGAGATACCTTGCTGATTGCTGTCTGACTAAAAAGATGTTTGATGGCTAATTCTTAGCTCAGTGAACCGTTAATTTTTTCCCATCTAATCCCAGGATTTTCAGCTTCTTTAACTTTATTTTCGCTCTACATTCACTGAAACCTTCCTAGAAGAGTGAATATTAGAAATCTACAAGAACGTTTTGACTGTTCTTGTAGATTAGATGTAGGAAACGTGTTTAAAAATATTAATAAACCACCATGAAATTCATAAGAAAAATCGATCGTGCAGTTAAGAAGATATTGCTTTAAAAGTAAAATTTGTAACTTGTATTCATGTAGAAGAACAGAGGTTTTGTATGGAAGCGAGTTTGAAATTAGTTTTTGAAAACTAATGATGTTTTCTTAAAATATTCACATTTTTAAACAAATTTATTATCACATAAACAAACAAATATATGATAATTCTTTCACATTATTGATTCCTAATTTGATTAAATTCGATTCTCTTTTCACATTTTCCATAATTCCATTTCTCCAAAAATTCATATTAAGAATGAAAACAACTCCCCAATAACCATAATTTTTCTTTTCCCAAAATCCGAACTTTTCGAGTCTTTTCCATTTTCGATGTTTTGCTTACATTCTCAAATTTTTACTCAATTTAAACACTTCCAGCAACACTCATGTAACTTTTTTCATCTTCCCCATTAATTTATCCCCAACCCCTGAGAAGAGGTTTTAACCGTCAATCCCCATCCTTCCGAATAAACCTAATTTTCTAAAAATCTTTCCTAAAGCAGCAATTTTTGGTAACTCTTTTTTAATTTTCATGCAAATAAAGTTGTGAGTTGTACCCCTGATTTTATATTTGTTATAAATAGCAAAAAAATAGTATCTTCCTCGAGTGCCCCATCTCACAAAACCAAAATTTTTAAAGGCATTTCTTGTTTAATATTTAACTATACCTTTTTAAATTTTTAAGAAATTAAAATTTAGAATATGGCAGTTAACATTTCGATGCGAAGGAAAAGTTTACATGAAACAAAACTAACGCTCTAACAAAGTAAGAAAAAAATGGAATTAAATTTTTTTTAATAATACATTGGTTGTTGAATGTTAAAATGCAGTAAGTTTAGCAAAAACTTACTTTTTTTTAACTAACATCCAACGTATCCTAAGTCGGTTACAATAAACATTAATATGTTTACCTACTGTTCTGAAGTTTTTAAGGACATTTAAGCTTAAATCATTGCACGGATAAATTAATAAAAATAAAAGAAATATGTCTGAAATCATTCTTTAATTCTTACAAACTTTTACAACTTACTTTTTAAATATGGAATAAATGATATATATGATTGATCATTGTAAAAAACTATCGTTACTGCCCCAACCCCCGCCCATGGTATATCTCATTCATTGTATATGAAAAATTTCGGAAAATAAAGTAAAAGAAAACTCCATTAAACCCTTCCTTCTCGCTCCCGTGAAAATGACGGGGTGAGTTTTCACCCGGTATTTCTCGCTCCCGTGATATTGACGGGCTGGAGTGTTCAGTAGTAACGCGCCAATAAGAATAAAACTAATTCATTTCTTTTGGCCGGGAAAAATTTTATTTCTCATTTTACACACCAGATAGCAGTACCAGGACATTTGTTAAGGAAATTGTAGATATTTAGTTTATTTTAAACTAGATTTCAGCACTAATCAAATACGTAATACAAATACAAAAGCCAAAACAATAGAATTTTTATGACCGTTTTCTTGAAAACTAACCGATCGTTAAGGGGTTAATAGAGATAAAACCGTTCCCTGTTTGAATTGTTATAAGTCTCCTCAACAAGTGAAACTCCTTTTCATTTTTTATCTTCTTTTTCAATCTCACAATTTGTTCCTTAGGTTTTTTTTTTTCAGAATGCTCTTTTTTTTTAATGCTTTTTTTTTGATCAGAATGCTCTTACGTAAGCTAAAATTATTGTATATTTTTAAGCCAAAATGTTCGTTTTTTTTTTTTTTTTTTGGTGTGAATGTGAGAAGCTATTAACGTTTCAGGAGAAATAATCAATGATGGATGCGAATCAATTACGAGGGTTTGCGAGCAGAGTTTCCTAGTCTTAGGTTCAAAACGCCTGTAATGTTAAAATGAAAACTAGTTTCTCATTAATTATATTGTTAGAAATAACGCCATTTTATAATTTTAATAATTAAAATCGAAGTAAAATTTTGGAAAAATAAGGAACTGAATTCCATTTCACTCACCGGACAGCAAATCTTTTGAACTCAGGTTTTCATTAAAGGAAAACAAGAACTAACGATAAATCTTATTTTGGAACGCTAGAATAAACACGTGGGAGGAGTCACGCTTCTTAACTGGAAGTTCCACTTCTAAGCAACAACTTAACACTTATCAGAAGGATGGGAGGAAGCGCAAGAACAGAATTCGAATCTTTCTTGAGATTAGAACTTCTTAATTCATCTCAATAAAAGTAGATAAAGCTATTAGCGTGGCGAACTGCAACACTATCGCTTCGTTAATACAAAAAAAAGAGGACCTTTTGTTGATGCAAGAATAGTACAGAAAATGTGGTGGGAGATCGAAACCAAAAAGACTTTTAGAAAATGTGATTGTTTAAGTATCGAAAATTTACGTATATTCAAGTCGCGTTGTAATCAGTAAACTGTAAACTCTTTATGTTTGTCTTGAAAGAAACAGGATATTTGGTGGTTTAATTGCAAGCTATAAATTTTAAAACTCTGATAAAATGTTGCTAATTTTAAATTCCAAATATTTTAAGATGAACTAGCGATTCGATGTAAAATTACTTATTTAGATTTCATAACGCTTTCATTAACAACTTCAATAGGTTTTAATTGAATTTCTATGATAATTGAAACTGATAACAACAGAAAAACCTTCTTAAACTTTTACTTTTTTTATTGAATGATATGTTTATTTTCTTTTTATAATTTAGTTTAAAAAATAGCTGTGAGAAAAGGTTTATGTTTGATCGTAAGGATGAAACAGACTTTCCTCTGGCCAAACTTTTGAGAAATTTTAAGAAATCTGTTAATTAATATCTAATTCTAATTTTCATCGTTAAAAAAAGACTAGATTTAAAGAAAAGGAAAAAATATTCATTGAAAAAATTTAAGAAAAATTTCTGTGGTGAATGGCATCAATGTCATCATCCACGCGAAATTCTCCACAGATATTTCATTAGAACGTAAAGCATCTCTAAAACTTTTCATTAATTCAACTGGTCAAATATTCAGCATGTAATTTTTTTGTCTTGCTTGAAATGAGGATCAATATTTATTTTTCTCTTTATATGTTTGCAAGAATATTCTGACATTACATTGAATACAACCGAAATATCACGTTTTTTCTAATATATTTGTACTGAAAGCTAAGTGCAGTCCTTTTATAACGACAATTCGCAATATCTGGTCGAACTGTCGTTATAGCGAGCTTGTAGTTATAAGCAAATACAGATAGTTAATGTTAAAATTAGCAGTAAGAAGGACTAAAAGATAAAATAAAGGACAACAGCAGTTTTTTTTACCTCATTGATAACACTGAATGTTAATTTCATTAGTAAGCTATCAAGACGGGAAACAGTGCATGAAGATATATGTGGTCAACAAAAGAGGCATTCTATTGAAGTGCAGTTTCCCTAAGAATATCACAAAATTTTTTCTTAAAATTAGGAAGAAAATAACTTGGCCGGTGATCGCTTACATGTTTGCTTTATAACCCCGAAAGTTTAAGATTATAAGAAGAAAAGATGGGGGAATAGTGTTCACTTATCTGCATTGTTAACAGAAATAAAATAATAACTAGGAGGCTCCGCCCCCTGCTCGCTAACGCTCGCCAACCCTCGAGAATTGCTACGCAATCCTATGTGGTTCACGCCGTGAACCATGGCTCGCTGCGCTCGCTCGCCAATGAACACAATGTTCTAGCACAAAGACATAATATATTATCATCAAAGACATAGTATTTTATCATCAAAGACATAGTATTGTACTTATGTAGAAGAATTCTACCAATGTTCTTATTGGCTTTTAAAAAAGTATATTAGCTATTTAGATTGTACATGGTGAAAAAATCAAAACATTAGCTAAATAAGAAACATATTAGCAAAATAAATTATCAAATATTGCTTCACTAATATTCTGCATTTTAAAGCGTGAAAATTCAATGCATAAATAAACGCGAAATATAAAAAAATTCAATGCATTCAATACAAACACTTAAACGTTTTTTAGACGTTTAGGTAGCTCCCAGTAGAAAAATATCAATTCAACAGCGGCCTTTTAAAGCATTCTCACTTCAATTAATTAATTAATTCCTAATTGAGTTTAAATTAAATATTGTCATGTTTTTAGTGCATGAATCTGAATTGAACAACCTGATAATGCTCACTCTGGTTTTTGTTATCTGGTTGCTCACTATGTGCTCTTGGGCGCCGAATCCAATCAATTAAAAATGAAAACTGTTGCCAGCGCGAGAAAAGAAATATCATCGGTTTTATTGATACATACATACGTACGTATTAGCGCTTTATATAATATATAGATTGTCTCTCATTCTGCCCTTCTCTGCTCTGATAAAAAAAAAATGGTCAAAACTACCAGAATATGGTGACATTCATCGTGTTTTTTTTGGCTTTATAGGAATACCAAAAAGAACAGTAATTTTTTCCTAACGCCTAGGTAACGATTTTTGGTAAAATTAGCAATAAAATATGGTTTTATTATCATACTGAGTTGGAAGTAAAATAGGTAAAATTAGGTAATTTTTACAAAACGAGCTTAATTTGAGAAAATGCAAAAATGTTCAGTTTATAGTAACCTCTATTTAAACTAATAAATGCTGGTTCGTTTTAATTTTTGGTAAATTATTTTCACTTCGATGTAAGCTATAAGCTAAATCTAAATAACTGCAAATAAGTACAAATTTGAGGAACTTATTGTTTGGAAGACTTTTCCTTTAAGGCATAAGAAGACACCGGTGTTTCATGCTGTATTTCATAACCATAAACTATTAAAAGGCCTGAATATAATATTTTCACTTATATATATCTAATATATAATCTGAATATAATATTTTCACTTATCCTAACTTCATACAAAATAAGGAAAACATATGTTGAATAAAAATTTTGAGTCTAAGGGTGTAGGCTTTTGCAATTTGCTCTCGACTGAGTTTCCTAATTGCTGCAGATTGTTGTCATTGTTGGTCTCGAATTTTTTAATCAGCTTTCTGTCAGTCAAACTGACAGCCGAGGAAAATTCTAATCAACCTATTTATCATTCATTTCATGATTCGGAAGCTAAATAATGAACTATTAAGCACTTTCGCTTCGTTATCTATCTGCGACAATGAAACATCTAAGACTTATTATATTTGCAATACACCAGTTCCGGTAGAATGAATAAATGGAAGGCTTATTATTTTGATTCCATTTATAGACACGGAATAATAAAGGAATTTTATCAATAGAAAAAATGTTTTTGTATTCTTTTCAGCAAATGGAAATTATTCCAGCTGCTACTTTTGTATCATTTCATACAGATTTCATTTGTAGCAAAACCTTGATAATTTATTGTAAGTTAGGGACAAAATTTTTTCAATTCACTGAAAATTTTTATTTATTATTTTCTTTTGTTGCTGTTTTGTCTTACAGATTTCAAATAAATAAGGTTACTTACCCCATTTTATGAGAGAGAAAAACTTTTTTTTTTGTTGCTTAAGTTAAAATAACGTGATTCTTTAAATTTTGGTTCGTCATTTTAATCTCTCTTTCATTCCATTTTTTTTAAGAGAATACACGAATTAAACCTTTTAGTAAAACGAGCATCTAATTTTTTTCCCATACCGATCATAAACTTCAGATCGATTATTTTAATTTCTTTTCATACCGATAATAAATTTGATATTGATTTTTTCTAATTTAAATAAAAACAAATTTCCACGCTTTAAAATTAAAAAAAATTATCTTTCGTTTACTGCAAGAACCCATTTTTAAGAGACAATGTCTCTAAAAAGTTTAATATATTAGCAAAGGAGATAAGCTCAATCCCCGTGGCAGAAACACGGCGACACAGCGACATTGTCGCAGAAAGCGACTGAGTTCTTGCAGAAAGATTTTTTTTATTTGGGAAATAAAAATTTTTGGTTTGCCACAAACAAAAGTTCTCAAAATAAATTCTGCAGAAACAGAAGCTGTTTTACCAACAAAAAAAATCATTTTCTTCAGAAACAAAAAAATTCTGCAGAAGCAATAATGGTTCTGCAAACTTTTTTTCTTACAGAATTGTTTTAAATATTTTTTTTTCTAGCGTACCGCGGAAGGAGAAAGCGCTCGTAATTCTCCGTTAATCTCCAACACAAACTGTTACTGGATAAAAAGGGGAGAATTTTTTTCCCCTTTATTAAGCTATTTTTGGAAATTTGCCAACTTCGGTCTCTATCGCTGGCGCAGTAATTTGCTTTGTGTTTTTTTATGAGAACAGAGCATTTTATACGCATGCGAAAAAAATCGCATCCAATGAATATGGCTCTAATACCGATGTTTCAGTACTGATAAAGACTATTTCGTTTCGAGATGTTGAATAGACTTGAGCATATTGAGTCGGAAACTGCTTCTGCATACTTCGTGTGGAATCAGTGCTATATATTTACACAATACAGTGCGAAATCACAAGCGCTGTGTATTTTTTTCGTTCTGAACTTAATCTGATCACGAAAAAAGTTTTATTTACCTCCTTTTTTTTAAAAAAAAAATCTTTCAATAAGTCAGTACAATATTAATCGAATCTAATTAATTAGGTAAAATTAATTAGATGTAGAAAAAATTGAAACAAACATTGCTTTAATTTTTTTGCTTTTAGAATTCGGTTATAGTCAATACTATTTTATTATTTTGATTACTCAACTTCAATATTAATTTTTTCACCTGATTTGTTTCTGTACCTGATATAACTACTATAGTGAAACATTAAATCATACTGTTTTAAACTGATACTTCAAATTCAGTTATCTTGTTTTATAAATTTAATCTTATTGTCCATTCTTAGCTATTTCTATAAGTTCTATCTTATTACAGGTTCTGGGTAATCTTTATTTATGCTCTAGTAAGCATTTTTGTCTGCAGATCTATACATTTATAACTTTTCGTTATTATCGAAGATTATGCAAATTTATACTTAAACAATTTAAACTTATTAAGAAATGTAAACTTATATTATGAAATTAAGAAAAAAAATCCTACACAGTTTTATTCTATGCATGTAGACTTATTTTATAAACACGAATTTCATCTATTATTATAAATTCATTACACATACATTTATAACGATAAAAATATCTTGCAGAAAGATATTGGTTCTAATTAGGTTTGTCG